CTATGGAGAAGGTGATGTAAGTGGATTCCCATCACTCAAACAATTTAATCTCTGTGACATGCCAAATTTGGAGGAGTGGTTGAGTCTATTTGGAACAGAGGTACTACCTTGCATCAGCAAATTGTCTCTCTCTGGATGCCCCAAGTTGGCAACTATCCCATGCCAACTTGCATCTCTTGAAGAACTGGAGCTCAGGGATAGCAATGAGTTGCTATTGAGGTCAGTTGCAGGGCTAACTTCTCTCTCGGTTCTTCGGATTAGTGAATTTTCACAAGTTAAGTCCCTGCAAAGGGAGGTGGAAAATCTTATAGCTTTGAAGTCATTGCATATTGAGACATGTGATGAATTGATGACTCTGTCAGAAGGATTGAAAAACCTTGCTGATCTTGGGATTTTAAGCATTTGGGGGTGCTCTAGCCTGACGTCTTTGCTGGAGATACAAGGTTTGATCTCTCTTCGTGAATTGTCAATTCTGAACTGTACTAAGCTAACTTATCTAGCACAGGATTTACAACACCTTACCACCCTTGAGAAGTTGCACATTGAAGGATGCTCAGAGCTGGTCTCCTTGTCAGATGTAGGCATGCAGAACCTCAGAGCCCTTCGGACCCTCAGGATATGGCATTGTCCTAGGCTAATTTCATTGCCTGAGGGCCTTAAGCATGTTACTTCATTAACAGATCTGCATATACAGGATTTTCCCAGCATAATGGCTTTGCCAGAGTGGTTAGGAAACCTCACATCGCTTCGTGAGTTGTCAATCTGGGACTGCCCAAATCTCATGTCATTGCCAGAACAAGTGAAATGCCTACGTGCACTCGAGTATTTGTCTATTTGGCGATGCTCACATCTGAGCAACGGTGTGTGGAGATGGGTGAGGATTGGCATAAGATATCACACATCCCAGAGATCCACATAAAGGACCAAGAGATAATAACCCAAGAAGGATTAGTGCAGAAGTTGAATCAGAGAACTGAAGAAGGTGAAGCTTGGGAGAGAGACTTCAACAAGTTGAAGAGCATCAATACCATGATTCTGGACCCCTATTTGTATAGGATGGATTCTGTTTTCCGCGACTGGTTGATGAAGATGAAAACCGTCGTCAACACATGGTGCAACGCTCAGTGAAGCAAGCAAGCACAGCACTGAATAAATAAATAAATAATCAAGCAAACAAGTGAACCAGCAGTTGAAGCGCTCACAAGGTAACTAGTGTGAATCCCGTATGAATCTTGAATATGTGATCATCCTCATCCTCATTATAGTTATTACTGTGAAGTGTGAACTATATAAATGGGTTTGTAGTTTAAAATTTAGGCAATTAAATCAAATGATCCGTAACATCCATATGTTTCATACTTGTTACACTGCAAATGACTAAAAGATAATATATATGCCCTGAAACTGTGATTCTAAAATCAAACAATTAAAATAACTTGGGCAATTCCTAGCATCACAGCAAGTAGGAAGGCAAAAGAACCCAACATATATACTGAAAATGCAGTAAAGAAGGTGCAATCGTCAAATCAATCAACCGTAAATATATACACCAATTAGTTTCTAATAATCCTTGATGAACTACTGTGTGATTTCGTGAATTGTTTTGTTTGTTGTAAGCAGAATGCAAGCATACTATTCATTTGATCTCCTGCTGCCGTTTCTTTCCCTCTTTTCTTTGTGGGTGGGGTGAGAGTCTGGGAGTGGGGGCATGAGAGTATGTGAATATGTGAGTGTACTTTGTACCCACACCCACAGGCCACAGCCCCATATAGGCATATACACATTGCTTTGGTCCACTTTAGCTTAGTAGTCTATCAAGTGTCATCCCCTATTCCCCTTGGTCCCTACGGACCCTACCGACCTGTCCAGTCACCACTCACCAGTGTCCGCATCTAGCACCGTCTAGCTCTCACAAGTCACAATTTGGCAAGCCACGCCCAGATTCTATTTCAATGGCCAAAATACAGATAGCACACAAGGACAACAAACAATGAGATTGAGAATGAGACTTGATCATCTGGGAGGGAAGAGAGGGAGCTATAATAATTGAAGTTTCAGGACCCAGTCCCACCACTGAAAAACTAAACAGGTCCCACCCCACCTCACCATGTCTCCCACACTTTGAACAGAAGATATTCTTCTTTCTTATTTCTTACCACGGTGCAAGATTTTAGTGGTATTGTCCATTATTGCTGGGTTCAGAATTCAGATGGATCTCCTCATCCTCTTAATAAATACAAGAATTTCTATTTGAGCTGATGAGCACTAATGTCAAGAATTTTGGAATCTGAAGTGGAAGAGTGAAGCAGCACCTGTAGTAGCAAATATTCCCTTCTGACGTTCCAACAACTTAGATTTTCCAATTCATTTTCAGGTTTGGCAATTGGCACCCTCCTTTTCCTTTTGCATGTTGCTTGGTGCAGAATCTGGGTTAGGAGTATCAAGACATGTCGGCCCGTATTGGTCGATATGTATCATTCCGGGACCCCTCCGATACGCCCTTATAGTGAGTGTATCGGGGGTCTAACCGGTTCAGAGTGTGGAGGAGACTTAAACCGCCCCTCCGAACCTGTTTTAAAAAGAAATTAAAAAAAAGGATATCGATTTGTCCGATACGCCACCTTGCTCCCATGTCTTTCTATTTGAAAGCTACATGCTTATGCATTTATCTAATTAACATGTATTCCTGGCTTTCTTCAAGGGTTTTCAATGACCAACCGAGAGGTGGCTCAGTTGGTTTATTCTAGTATAGATGTGGATTCGATTCTTACAACTGCTGAGTTCGAGGAGGGAGTTATTAGTGGTGCCTTAAACAGATTTTTGTCTGCATATTAGTGATTAATTCCCACTCTCAGGACTCTCTCTCCGATGTGCCAAAAGGAATGTATCAATAATTTGAATCTTGTATTTATTTTATTTTTTTTCAAAATTTTAGAGGGGTCTATTTTTACGTGTTTTAGTTATTAAAAATAATTTCTTAAAAATATATTAGAATAAATGTATCATATACAAAAAAATATGATACATTTTAAATAGATTGTATCAAAATTTTAAACATTGTGAGACCGGACTTAACAGAACCAGACCAAATGATGAGAGAGAATCTGGGATGGTAGTGGTGTGTCTGAAAAATGTAGTAGTGTTGTGAGTTGTGACCTCTCTGAGTCTTTCTCGGTAGATGTTTAAAACAAGGTAGGTGTGTGGACGTGGTCATCTACTCATCTCCTCGTCTCGTGTCGGTTCTTTTATTCTCTCTCTCCGTCTGTACGTTAAATTTATTCAATACATGACATGACTCAATCACTCATGAGAGGTTGTGAGAATGAGAGATCAAAGAAAGGACCCTCATATTTTCATCGGAGAAGTACGAACACACACGATGCAGAATTCTGAATTCCAGCCCCCCCTATTACTAGCCCTCTCCTCCTATAAATCACATCCTGCCCGTGAATTTGACATTAATTCCCGGTCAGATGCATTCCCCATGTACTTTGGGGTTATAAAATTCTGATCTGGGCTGATTGATCATTCTCCCTATTTTCATTATACCCTCCTCTCTCTACCTACCTCTTCCTCTCTCCTGTTTCGCTTTCTGCTTTCATTTCTCAATTCTCACCACACACTCACATTTCTAATTGTATGCCATTAATGAGTCTCACGTGACAAAATTTCTTAATTAATTAACATTACAGGGTTGACAACGAAGCCAAAAAGTTTCTGGAATTAATTATTATTTTAAATAAATCACTAATTCTAGGATTGAAGTTGTTGAGATCGAATCAGCCCCCCCCACGAGACTGTCTCCCACAATGTTCCACAGCACATCCTGCCATGTATAGGAAATATTTTCAATACATGGCGGAGATGTGCGTTGTGGGGGGCTAATTTAAATTTGAAGTTACTAATGCAGTCATAATAGTATATAAGGGCAACTTTTGAAGTTTAATATCAATAAAAGTAATATATTTAAAAAATTTTAAAAAAATAAATTAATTTTTTAAAAATAATATAATAAAAGGCAAAAATACTATTCATCATCTTTTTCGTGTCATTTGTTCACTAGAGCCGTTGTCTACCACCACCAGCCACCCTCGTCCGCTGCCACCCGCCATCGCCTCCGCCTCCGACAATGTCGGAGGTGGTCGAAGGCAGAGGTGGCGGGTGGCGGCGCTGGTGGTTTCTCTGTCCAACGCCGCCACCTCCGCCTCTACCTCCGGCAACGTTGCCGGAGATGAGTGGAAACAGAGGTGGCGACAGCAACGGGTAGAGGAATGACCACCAGTGCCGCCGCCGCCACTTCTACCTCCGGCCACCTTCGACAACATTGCCAGAGGCGGCAGTGGGCAGTAGCGAACGACAGTGGCAGGAGCGAACGACAGTGGCAATAAGGAGATGATGAATAGTATTTTTGCCCTTTATTAACCTATTTTTAATTTTTTTTTAAATATATTATTTTTATTGATATTAAACCTGAAAATTTGTCCTTATATGCTAAAAACCCTAAATAAAATTGTTGAGGCTTCTTTGAGGGTGAAGGGGCCGGCCGTCCCCGCTTTCCACGAGAGAAAACGAAATCCCAGCACCACCATACGCGTCTGTCTTAGACTTAGTAAAGCAAAGCTAATAATCGTAATAGTTAATAAATACTAATATCTTCTTCTTATCTTAACCCTCTCTCTCTCTCTCTCTCCCTCCTCCTTCACAGCTTTACTCTCTATTAAAATATATATGTATTAACATGCTTTTTATTTCAACGGCTGAGCTCATTAGCTCAACCTGAACCCTCAGCTAGCAACCCACGCAGCAAAAATTAGCTTCTTTTTTTTTTGTTTATTTTATTTTTGACCAACCAATCAATTCAAGTCTATCTTCTTCACTGCGCATATAAAATGATAAATCCTTGATTGGGCCCCACTCTTTGCTAGACCCCACTCATTAAACGCTTCAGATTTCAGGCACTGCCTGTGCCTGTCAATTCTTAAAAGAAAAAAAGAAAAAGAAAAAAAATTTAAAAGTCAGGACTCAGGACTCAGGACTCAGGAGGGTTAAAAATTTTTAGAAGAAGAGGAAGGAGGAATGCGTATGCGCGTTTGGGTACTAATTCTTCTCTGCAACTTCCTTCCTCTTTCCTTTTCTTCCACCAAAACCATCCCAAAGGTAAAATTGCCAGCAGGTAAAATCTCTCTGCCACAATCCTTCAATTTCCAGAAAAATAAAATAAGAGGGCCTTTTCTTTTCTTTTTATTTTTTTGGGTAAATTGCGTGTCAATTCGTTCTTGTGTTTCATACAATAAGAATATGGTGGTTATTAATCTTTGTTCCAGATTCTTCTATTATTTAGATTGCTGATACATTTAAATCTCTTACGTACCCGTTCTAGGCATCTCTATGTTTCCCAAATCTCCCTTCTGTTGTTGGATTTGGTCTTGCTGAAGGAACTTTCTCTGTTGGTGGGCTTGATCTCTGAAGCTGTGATTTCTATTGATTTTTCCTTGCTTTCGCATCTACCTCGCGAACAATCCTCTGTTCTTGGTACGATCTCTCTCTCCCCCCCTATGTAGCTTGGTGAAATCAACTTTTTTTTTTTTTTTTTTATCTTGTGGCCGATGGTTGATCTCTGCTACGATTTCAATTCTGGTTGATTAAGAGAAGGGATCTCCTTTGCTTGTATCTCTATGCTTTTTAGGTTCTGCAATAACTGAAGAGAAGAAAATCTGTAGATCGTTTATTTTACTCCCCCCACCCCCATTTCTGATCGATCGCGAGAACTATTGTTTTTTGTTCCTGATCTGTATATTGTTGACTTTTTTTATAGTCATCTATGGAAGGCAGAAAGGATCTGAGAGTTTATGCTTGTTGGTTTTTCTTCTTTTTAAACTTTTAAATGCTTGTTGGGCTGGTTTGAAATTTACAGGAACCCGTTCTTCTTTGTGCTTTTCTGAGGTGGTTTCTTTTTTTTTTTTTTTTCAAGGTTGCAAAGAGGGAGAGATGGGTGATGCTCCAGTGGCCAGGTACTGGTGTCACATGTGCTCTCAACTGGTGAACCCAGTCATGGAAGTAGAAATCAAATGCCCTTTCTGCGAGAGTGGGTTTGTGGAAGAAATGGATAGCTTTAGGGAGCAGGACAATGACAATGATCTAGGATCTGATCGAGCTCTTTCTCTTTGGGCTCCAATCTTGCTTGGGATGATGGGTGGTACTCGCCGCCGAAGATTCAGAAGAGAGGAAGACGGTGATGAAGAGGCCCAGCAGGGTGGGTCTGAACAAGAACGAGAGCTTGAATCTTTTCTTCGAAGGAGAAGAAGACATTCGGCTGCAATCTCAGCTGCCTTGTTTAATTTGCTCCAAAGCCTCCGTGCTTCTGGTATCGCATCTGAAATGGAGAATTCTGAGAGTGATAGAGAGAGAGATCCTGTCATCCTGGTCAATCCTTTTAATCAGGCCATAATTCTTCAAGGCTTGTTTGATACCAACCAGAATGAAAACCAGGGACAAAATGCCCCCAGCTCCTTGGGTGATTACTTCCTCGGATCCAGTCTGGATCTCTTGTTGCAGCATTTGGCAGAGAATGATCCCAACAGATATGGGACCCCACCGGCACAGAAAGAGGCAGTGGAAGCAATGCCCACTGTAAAAATCACAGAGAACTTGCAGTGCTCAGTGTGTTTGGATGACTTAGAAATTGGGACAGAAGCAAAGGAGATGCCCTGCAAGCACAAATTCCATAGTGGGTGTATTCTTCCTTGGTTGAAACTTCATAGTTCTTGTCCAATTTGTAGGTTTCGAATTCCTGCTGATGAATCTAAGCTTGCTTCAGATGGGTCTGGCAATAGTGAGAATAGGGGTGAAAACAGTAGTGGTGTCGGTCCCCGTGGCGGAGAAGGAAGTGAAGAAGGGGGGAATGGAAATGGAAGAAGGTTTTGGGTTCCTATTCCATGGCCTTTTAATGGGTTATTTTCTATGTCAGGATCCCAGAATGATGGCAATTCTTCCTCACAATCATCTTCTTCAGCATCAGCAGGAAATGCTTCTCATACGGATGACAACTGAAGACATCTATGTAGTCTTCCATTTCCTTCCTCTTTTAAGTTGTTGGATTTTCTGGTGGTTTCTTCCCTTTCCTTCTGTACATAGTCCTTTCTTGGATAAGCTGAATATATGTTCACTTCATCTATTTTCTATAGAACTTAGTGCCTTGTTTGAAAATCCCTGAAATTGTTTGCTTTCTTATTTTCTCATTGTGCGCTTCATTCCCTGAAATGGTTTACTTGACAACGCTTATCTTATTCTCCTGTTACCTGCTACTTTTCAAAGGACCAGATTGCGTGGACATATGCTATCTGCTTGTGTGAACTTGGACAGAACAGGTGATTATTTAAGCCTTTTGAATTTGACCAATTCTTATGTACCTAAAAAAATAAGAATAGTACCAGCTCTCTGAGAGAGTTCTGTCAAAACTCAAGAGAGCCTACTTCCTGAGTCTTGACTTCAAAGTTCCAACTTGAAGGTGTAAAAAGAGATAAAGAGGTCAAAAAAGACTCGTTAGTATTCAATGCCCAGGTCTTCCATTTATTGCCATCTGATTGTGACCCAAGGAGGAATTAAATTTTGGAGAAGTACATTACAGTCCACTGAAGAATTCTGAAATTACAGCCCCCATATTTGGCATCAATCCACAGTCAGGATTCATCCCACTGTATAGTGGGGCTAATAATTTTGAGGTGGACTGAATAGTCATTGGTTTGGATTTGGTTTTGTTGGCAGAAAAAAAGCGCTACTTAAGTATCAGTCAAAAAGAAGAAAAAAAAATCCATATTCCCAAAAAAAAAAAAAATCGTTCTTGCTCAAAGCTCAAGCTTGAATCTGCTGCGAGAACAGCACCCTGCACCCTAGCCTTTGACCTGGAAATGGTATCAGGAGCTCTTCTAAGAGTTGTTTGTGACCTTGGTAGTGTGTCCCCCATCTAAACTCTTTAGGTCCATGCAAGTATGTTGATCTTATCATATTATTATCATGTTTGGTTGGATAACTTAAAATTTAAACGTCAAAGGGGCACTTATGATGCTTGTGTATTTAAAGCCACGATAAACAATTATACATAGTGTTATGTACACAATACGGCAATACCTTATTTTCCTGATTTCCAATGCAAACATCCATCTAACTCATCTTTCGGTTATCTTATTATCAATGACAAATATCCTTTTTTTAGTTTAATTTTCTTCTGTTTTTTTTCTTTTTCTTTTTTTTTTTATGGTTACATCACTTGCATGTATATTTGAGATTTGCTGATGGTTCTCATCTATCAGTACATGTATTATGATTTATGAAAAAAACACGGTTGACATTTGACAATATAAATATAGTAGTAGTGTAATAATAGACTACAAAACTGAGCGCATTGAGCACCGGCAAAACGCCTGTTACGAAAAGCAACGACAACCCATAAAAAAAAATAGAATCAAATCACTTGACGGTCAAGATCTTGATTACAGACGCAGTCCCAACTCGGTGCAGTGCAACAACTGCATCCCCAGGCGTGCAGAGAGCCTTTGCCTTGGCATGTTGAAGGGCAAAATCTAGTGCTTCCTCAGTAGCCTCTGTATGAGAAGCCTTTGCAGACCCTGCATTTAAAACAGGAACCAATCCTCGGAAAATAAGGCTATGCCTTGCAGGAGCTTCGTCGCTGCATAACCAAGTGAAAGAATCCGTCTTTATCTCAGGTACCACCACAGACAAAATTGGCATAGCAGGTCTGTACTTGGCCACCATCTTTGCAGTAGTCCCCCCTCTTGTTAGAACCAGAATCAAAGCTGCTTTTGCAGAGTTGGCTGTCCTTACTGCAGAGGAAGCCAGGCTCTCTAATGGGCTCATGGGTACTGGTGCAGCTGCCATAATCCGTTTGAATACTCCCCCATAATCAAGAGAGCACTCTGCTTCTATGCAAATCTTGGCCATTGTCTGTACAGCAAGTTCTGGGTAAGCACCAGCAGCTGTTTCCCCACTAAGCATTACACAGTCTGTGCCATCAATAACCGCATTGGCAACATCGGTGGCTTCAGCTCGAGTTGGACGTGGCGACTTGATCATTGATTCCAACATTTGAGTTGCAGTTACTACAGGTTTACCCTGGATGTTGCACTTGTAGATCATCACTTTTTGTGCTAGAAATATCTTCTCGATTGGAATTTCCATTCCCAGATCCCCACGTGCCACCATAAATGCATCAGAATTTGCAAGTATGTCATCAAAATTAGCTACCCCTTCTTGATTTTCAACCTAACAACAAATCACAATTAGAAAAGAAATGTCAGGATTCTGAACCGGGTTTCTATAATAACTACAATTCATGATGCATCCCATAGCCATACAAATCTCCACCCTCTTAAATCTCCCAGGCCAAAATATTTTCTTACTGGACAGCCCATATTCATCTGATCTATATGCATCCTCTCTCTCAATTTGTTACCATTTCTTGCCGTCTAAAAGGATAAGGATGTAATAGATCATGGACAGAAAACAATAATAATAATAACAGACCTTTGACATGAGAAGGGTATTCTTTGCATGCGCCCCAAGCAGTTTTCGGACCTCAACTAGGTCGGAACCTTTGCGTACAAAGGATAGAGCAATCATGTCAATTTTATTGGGAATCCCCCACTGCAAGATGTCCTCCTTGTCCTTCTCCGTCAGTGTTGGGAGGTCTACAATTACTCCCGGAAGATTAACATTTTTTCTCTCACCAAGAACAGCAGAATTTTCACACCGACACCGAACTGAACCCAACTTCCTATCACAAGATAGTACGGTTAGAGTAATCGTGCCATCTGCACATAGTATCACACTTCCCTCCTTTAAATCATCAGCTAATTTCTTATAGCTCATGCAAATCATGTTCTCATCACCTTTGATACTATAATCAGTAGAAATGGTGATCTCTTGACCCTTCTTTAGATTAATCGGCTTACTATCCTTCAAAAACCCTGTCCGAATTTCAGGGCCCTGCAATGTTATGAAGAAAAATCTCAGAAGATATAAATTGTAAGAAGAGGTAAATGGTCCTTACTGAACACATAAAATACAACAGCTCTATCTGGGAATATAGCATAAAGATGAACCAGATGATCGAAGTTCAACGTGCTCCTAGAGAACCAGATTATCGAAGATTTTAATAGCTTTTTTCATGAATCAATTCATGAAAAAAAAACACAGAATAGTGAAGTTCAACGTGCTCCTAGAGAACATGAAACAAAAAGCTATTAAAATCCAAAAGGCATCACATCTTAAATCTAATCTCTACACGTTTTTAGCAGTGTATCAATGTAAAAATCCTATCCTATGATCTCAGATTCATTTTTTTAGAGTAACAAGTAGCAACTCATAGGGTCCATTGCTTGGTAAAATGGTAAAATCTTGGCTGACAAGCAGATTCAAGTCTGAGAGCAGCCACCTTGTGCAATAAAAAAATGCCAAAGGTTATAGGTCGGTATCCAGTTCACCCCTCCCAATATCCTGATTACTGAAACAAACACTGGGTAATGGACTCTCTAACATGTTGGCATTCATGGATCCTGTCATTTGAAAGTGGGAAAAGTTTCTATTATAACTTAAAGAATGCTTTAAAGTAAATAGATCAGATGGTAGAGAAGTATATAAGACGAAGGCATCCAAACATTTGGATATTAAATCTAGACAATATCTCAGACGGGATTCATCCAGCACTGAGCTATTGCTAGATGCAAAGGTAAAAATATAAGGCTGGCAAGCATTTGAATACAGGTTCAAGAAGAAATGCCAAAGGTTAGGTCCATATCCAATCCACCCCTCTCAAGACCCTAGATACCTCAGACCAACATTGGGCAGTTGACCATTATCTTCAAAATATAGAACATGTAGAAAGTTGTTGGGACAGGAACCAATCTACAGTTCTGTTATAGCAGACAAAGAAAATACCTTCTTTACTGGGAAAAGACAAATCAGCATGCCATTATAATGGGGTAAATAAGAATTGGTAGTTGCAGTTGAGAGAGGAGGAAGAAGAGAGATCATTTGGAAAGGGTAACCACCAAATCTTCCTTTACCTCATTTGAAGTGTAAGATGGAACAATAGGCAACTGGCCAATAATGGTATACCTATATCTCCTATTTTCAAGCAAAAAAAGAACTATTTACCATGTTTTGAGGCATAAATAATTAATTATAACTTTTTCCTCAATCTAGACTAGAAAATGTCTCTCCATCATCATAATAACAACACTAATGATGATGATGATATTGATGACAATGACAACAACGATGAAATTAAGTTAATAACAGTGTTTAAGAAGTATATGAGGTTTAAACCTTGAGGGTTCACATCTGCGTTTAACACATCTAAAGCCATTTTGAAGTATTATTTAACAATTAGAGATTCTTAAAAGTTGTTAAGTTGTAAGAATGCAATGGCATTCTCTGAAGCCCCTAATATTCTGAAATCATTTGTTTATGTGATCATTTATTTGCTTCTGTTTCCTACATAAACACATACTCCTCTTTTGCACGTTACTACAATCTTTCTCATGTTGGATTTTCTTTTTCAAACAATATAAATAATCCTGAAGCCAAAAATAAATAATAAGCACCAAACAAATACAACAAAAATTAGAAAGATTTGTTACGTCTAGAAAGTACCAAACAGAAAAGCTAATATAACCCAAAAGGTATATCATCTTTTTTTTTTGATAAATATCCAAAAGGTATATCATCTTAAACAAATTTTTTTTACATTCTGTTTTTGATAAGTAGTAACCATGAAACAATTTTATTGATGATAGACTGTTGGAGGGATTATTTTCCAACATAGACAATCGAAAACTCATGACTATAGTAGTCAACAACTAGCAGGGAAAGAAACATTTACAAATAAGCAAATTTATCATCAATTACATAAAAGAAAAACAGGTTACAATTAGCAAATTTATCATTTTAATACCCCCATCACATTCATTTGTTGATAATAACTTAACCACGTAACTCAGTCATTCCATCACAAATGCATTAAATTCATCTATAAACACGGGAAGAACAATAACCAGTTGCCAAACTTTTGAATCATGGATAAGAAACAGAGAAGCAATTAAGCGATCTTAATAGAGTTTTGCAGCACAAATACAAGTTGAAAGAAAACAAGATCACTCGTATACGTTGCAGACCTGCTAGCCTATAAATGTCATAAAACAAAACATAAAAAAAAAAAGAAAAAAGAAACTATTAAAAAGACAATGAATCATAGCAGGGGATTTTAGTAAATGACATATAGAGGGGATGAACAAAAGATAAGACAGAAAAAATTATATCAATCAGAAAATAACAACCTAAGCAACAGGAACATACGATTAACCGGCAACAGGGGAAACACCAACATGAAAAAGTGGTGACAAGGGCACGCACACTAAAAGTAAAAAACAAGCAGGTTAGAAATTCATTTCAGAAATTACGGACTCAGCCTCTGGAATGGATTCCAACAGACTGCTAACCAAAAACAAAACTGAAGCCAGTTTAGGAAGTGAAGAATTGAATTCGTTTATAAATTATATCTAACTCCCCCCTGTAAACCCATTTCTGCATGATGGATTTATGGCTTCAAGTGCCAAGGAAAACCAGAACAAATGCTATCTAACTCAACGTTGTTTCTTAAAGTCCATCAAATAAATCAACCCTGAATAACAGCAGACGAAAAATCTGCGCCCAAAACCCAGATTTTAGAAACAAAACAAAACCCAGAATCCAAAGGCAAACAAAAAAGATGAACAACCACCCAAAACCAGAAAAGCATCACAGACAGTAGACACCAAAAACAGAAGCAAATACAACCGACCGAGAAGCCAAAAATACAAGAATAAGCGGAAACAAGAAAAACCCAAGTGGTAAAACACAGCAATACCTTCGTGTCAAGCATAACCGCACAGAGTATCCCAGTGTTTTCCATGGCGGCCCTAAGATTATCTAGGGTTTCTTGGTGGTAAGCATGAGAGCCGTGCGAGAAGTTGAAGCGTGCAACGTTCATGCCCGCTCTCAGCAGTTTCTCGATCATAGGCACTGACCTTGACGCGGGGCCTAACGTGCAGACGATCTTGGTCTTGCGCCTTCGCTCTGCTTCGACAGCCATTGGAGGGGAGAGGAGAATGAAGCTTGAAAGGGAAGAGAAGGCAGAAGACTCAAAAGAGTACCAGAGGCAATAAACTTTGTTTGTTAGGTTGGTTGTTTCTTTGATGGCTTTTTATAGTCTTTTAATCTTTGGAGACTTGAAGGGAAAGCAAAAGGCCAAACAAATAGAACCTTCGTCCCTTCCCAACGTCGAGTTTCTACAAAACGTGTTACATGGGAAAATGGGCTTGACGTTGGCGGTTTGCCATTTGTGTGCCGTTATTGACATTGTTCTTCTGCCGTATACAAGACTTTGAGATTTTGACTTTATAAATAAATAAATATTTTATTTATTTTTATTTAATAAAAGCCCATTGTTTTTTGCTTATTTAATAAATAATAATACTGTTTTTATCATGATTATGAATACAAAGCCCAAAACTAAAAATTATGCTCCAAGGAAAAAAATGATGAAACAATAGAAGTTGATCAGGATAGCAGCAGCAAAAGAAAAAGAAGTTGATGAGGATACCTACACCATCATATTGTTTAAATTACTAATATTCTATTCTGGATTGTGAAATTTAAGACAGGAAGAATAGAAGTTTAATCCATGGGATTTTCGTAAATTTGACTGGCATATCTTAACTGTTTTCTATACCTTACGAGCTGACCTCAATAGACTCATTTAAATTTTTTAAAATCATATCATAATTTACCCTTTTAACAAATGAAAGCTTTTCTCATCTCCTCAGCATAGAGAAGATGAGGGAGTTCATCTCCTTCTCTCATTATCCCTGCCCCCTCCCCCCCCAAAAAAAAAGGAGATGCGATGCGGAGAACTCCAAAGATGAGATGTGCCACACAAAAATGGGGTCTCTCAAGAAGAAAGCCATAGATGCTTGCAGCAACTTTCACCCATTCCCTTAAAAAATGAGGAAAAAGGAAATTCAATTATCGAGTTTCTTCTATTTCAATAGATGATATTAGGACGCAAAAGAGTAGACAGCAGTCTATGAATTGTGTCAAAAACTCCAATCACCTTAGCATGAAGACTATCGTACTTTGTTGAGATTCTTGAAAAGCAAAGGAGTTTAGCATTGAGAAAATGATATAAATGTGAAAAGAAATGCTTCATTGGAAAAGAAAATATGGAAAACATGCCATATTGGAGGAATTAAAACTTCAACAACTTGAGGAAATTTTGCAAGATTACCTTCAAGGATTAAAGAAGGGAGGCCAAGCTGGTAAATATGAATTTATTTTCTATTTGTTTCTTTTTGAAAATTTGAAAGAAAACAAAGATTAAAAGAGTTAGAATAAGTCCATTTTAAATGTAAGTCAATTTATAAAAATTTAGTGTGTGTTTAAGTCTTTTAGTGTGTCCATTTTATTACTTTTTTTTTTTCAATTCTTTTGCTCTGGCTTAGAACGACTTGTCAACCAAATTTGAGCAGATAAAGGCAAAACCAAGATAGAAATATGGCAAAAGCAGTATTCTGGTTTTGTTTAAGTTTGATCGAGTAGTGGTAAGGGAATAGAGAGATGCCCCTGATTCTAAAACGGAGGGACAGTCCCGCTCAGAAGTCAGTAGTCGGTATACGCAGAGGAGTTTTTTTCCGAGGTGGAATGTTCCAAAGTCGGAACTCTGTGGGGTTCCCTTCCAGTTGGATTATGATTAGAGAAGTGGGCAGAAAAAAGAAGAAAAGCAAAAGGGGTGGTCTGAGAGTCTTGATCCAAGGCGTGCAAATAAAGCACATTAACATGGGGATATGCCATGGATTGTCCGTAGCAGGCTGCAGGCAGGAACAATGTTGCTAAAGAGCATTCATTGGCCTTAGCTTTGCCTTTGCACAAACAAAGCTATGGTTCTACTTTTAATACTTGCAGCTAGCTAGCTGTAAATCTGTACCTGCGTTTCAAGGCATCTGCATTCTATGAACTTTGCCTCCTTCCTGCTGCTGCATCGTTCGGTTAATCAATGTCCATTTATTTATATGATATACAATACAATGGCATCATGCCTAGAATTTCGGACAGGGGTGTATTGAATCTGAAATGTGAAATCACCTCTAATCTATTCTATTGATGAGCTCGTGTTTATTGCAGTTGAAGCAACGCCAATTCCGATTGAAAAAGTGAAAAAAGCTTTCCACTTTTCTGAGATGTTACATCCGATCCAAGGTCCCAATTCCTAACATCAAAAATTCAAAATGCATCGATATCAGGTTTTTTTTTTGCAATAATGGCTTTGGTGCAGCAGTGGATATGACACCCAAGAAATGGCCCTATTTCAATGCCCTTGTCCCTTATCAAATAGACATCAGACAAGCGTATTGAATATTATTATTCATGTTGTATGTGGGGGCTTCGGTTAACACACCAAAACCTTGTCCATTTGGCTTAGGTGGAGGTGTTTGTAAGTTCTAACAGAAAAACAACCTAGGATCTGCCACTTTTTTGAAAAATAAAAATAAAAACCTTGAAATTGATTTTTTTTATCCAATTGAAATTAGGTTTTCACGTTAGATCTCCACTAAAAAAAATGAAAAAAGGCATTTTTTACGATTCTATCATTTAATTCTTCAAATCAAGGTTCAAAAATATCAATATGCCGATAGGGGCATATCGGGCGAATTGATACACATTTTGGTCCCTTGTCTTTTATTTTTTTTTTCTGCAACCGATTCAGGGGGGGCCGGTTTAGGTCTCCTCTACCCCCTGAACCGGTCAGACCTCCGATACACCCACTGTAGGGGCATATCGGAGGGGTCCCGAAATGATATGTATCAGCCAATATGGGCCGATACGTGTCGATACTCTGAACCTTGCTTCAAATTTCAATATATTTACACATTTTTGTACTTGAAATACATAGATATGATAATCCCTTGTTAAAACTGTGGTGCTTTTTATTATATTACTACATTTATAGGTTTTCCTAGAAAATTGAAAATGAAAATATATATATATATATATAATTTGTAAACAAAAACCTATTTTCCTTATATTTTGCATGATTTTGATCGTAAAGAAGAGCTACAATGGATCTATGTATCGAGCAAGAATCATATGTATTTATTAAAATAAAAAAAAAAGGTTGCAATAAAAAATAAACCCAAGTAATCCCTCTGGTTCTTTTCTTTTTCCTTGTATGGACATGCTGGGCACTTCTGTAGAAGCGCTTGAAGACTAGACTGTACCTCAGTGGAGTGGGCTCGGATCCCAAGTTTTATTGGGCACTCTAAATCTCAATGAAGACTGAATAAATTAGAGGGTAGAAGAGGTTCTCGATTTATGCATCTTCTTGTCATCCTGTGAAGAAGCTGGTGGCAATGATGAATTTGAAATGGCCGCATGATAAGATGAAGATACAAGTTGGGCTAGAGCAGGAACTGCACCACCTGCAAAGTCAGTGGAGGAATCAGAGGAAAATAGTAAAATTGATTCACCGGGTGTTCCACATAATGGCATTCATTCCTTTCTAGTGTCCACTACATCATGTCTACATCCACATAATGACTCATAAATCTACTACCAGGGGAATTATCCAAGAATATCTTCACCAGTAGAATTGGTCCACCACTCAAGAGTCGGTGACCAAATTGTTCCAGATAATCCACGCCTCAGACACCGCATGGAAAGTTGAATGAAACAAACTCAAGCCTCAAGGGCTACTTTCAAAAAAGAAAATAATACTAAGATGACTAAATCATTTATCAATAAAGAGATTAAGATGATTCAGATCATCTATCAACATTATGCAATGGCTAAACTTAGATGGCCATCACCATGCAACCAATTCAGTGTCAGTGGAATTGTCTGTACAATATATCTCCACAGGTGGAACTGGCCACAAGGAGTGAAGGAGAGATAGTGCTACAAGCAGTATGGCATTGGCATGGCTGTATTTTTATTAACTAACAACATGCACTGGCATTTGTTGTTGTTCTTGTTGTGTATCAAGATATTGTCATAGGGTATCCATGTATCAAATTGAGTAAATGGCTCCCTGTCATAATTAGTAAGGGCCTTGGATGTTGATATTTTTCTGATTTCAACTGGATACCACATTCTCATTATAAGTTTATCATTTAAATATTTTACAATGAACAAATGCCTTGATATTGAAACTCCAGTGGAAAGCAATATAAGGATCTTTGAGACACTTTTTAGATCATTTGAGTGTATCTTTGCAGATTTTGGTTCCTTTGTAGCAAGACGGGGGCTCAAAGACTTCTCATTTAAAAGTGATTTTTGTATGGGAGAGCATTTTTAGTAATACAAGGTTGTAGGTCATCGAGTGGTTGGGGTACTTCACTTCTTTTGATACATCTATATACTTGAATTGATTCATGTCATCCAATAAGACAACATTGACAACAGCTGCCACTTACAGTGCTAAAAAATATCATTTCTCTTCTTTCTATCTAGTCAGATCATGTAAGTAGGTTCTTGTAACCAACCCCACATACTTAGGGTAAGGCTTAACTTGGTTGAGCTGAGTAGCACTCTAGTAGCCATAAGGAACACTCTATCATAACATTTTATAAAATCAACAAAGGTATGAAATAATTAATAACAATGAAAACATGACAAATGTATCAAGATGAATATAAAAAATAATAATAAGTAACAACATAAGAAAGATAATGCACCAAGATATACATAAAAGAACCGCTCCTCAATCTTACATCTTATCAATGAATAAATCTCAGGAAGAAATAACAGAAAAAGACGTAGGTAGGTAGAGAGAGAGAGAGAGAGAGAGAGAGAAAGAGAGAGATTGAGAGAGAGAGCTAAAATGATTAAAAAGGAAAGAAAATCTCTAACCTGCCAATCCAGCACAAGTTGAAGAAAAAACTATGACAGGCGGAGCCTGCATTCATATAAAGAATTGTGTCACTATTAACAATGTTGATTACATCTAGCTTTTCTAGCATTAGTAGACAAAGAGCAACAATTGGTTTGGCCAGGCCTAGTTTTGTACCACAACCCAGCCAGAGACCAGCTTTAGACCCAGGCAATACATGTTAGGTGTTTTGCATATGATGTTTGTACAAGAGGATGACTGTTTCAATAATGAAAAAAAGTCTTCTATTCACATTATTTTTCTGATAAGCTCAGTCTTCTATTTAGATTCAGATGTAATGGTTATTCAGCGGCACATTTTCATAACATCAGTAAATCCAACTTCTAGAACTAACCACTTTAAGATAAATCCACCTCATGAATAATAGTCAATCAAAACAGTTTTTATATATTTCAATCTTTCCGGAACATAAAGAAGCCTATCATTAATTTCTACCCTAAAAGTTGTTTAAGTACTCACTATACATTGAGTTGCCAAACAGAACAAAAATTTTCCTACTTAAACATAATGTATGTATTCTAAATTGCTTATAGGAAGAAACATTATCTCCATCTTCTTAGACCATAGGGAAGCTCTACATCCCTTAAAATTAGTTTAGTAGTTAAAATATATCAACATGCTAAAGAGTACAAAAGTTTTTCCTTAATGTGTAAGCCAATTCCTTAACACCAGAACAAGCACACTTCTTGTTCAAAAAAAAAAGCAGACTTCATTTCTATGGCAAATATGACATTTGAAGTATTAATGTACCAGTCATCAGAGGCATTGAAAGTTTAGAAATTTTCAAAATGAAATCAGATAACTGTTTCTAGAATCCTGAGAATCCAAAGAAAATGAGATGTATTAAAACACTTACACCTATGAGAAAATGTAACCACATAGGCCCCTTAATCCACCTTTGAACAATTGGCATTGCTGCAAACAGAACATAGATATCAATACAAATTAAAGGTTGAATAAGTTATGTCTTTTGCAGGCAATCTGTGAAAATAAGAAAGAAGTATGCAATATGGTTGAAGAAAGTAATCCAAATGAAAATACATATGAACAGCACATTGGATCAGTATCTAAGGAGAAGTATAACAAAAAGGAGATAATAGAAACAGCACTAATTGCAGAAGTCACAATATCTGATTAAACATTAGACAAGGACTGACATTTCAAATGGTCAAGCACATAATCTTCCATAGGGCTCATGATAAACAGTAAACGACAAAACCGGACACTTGGAGTTTGGATCAGCATCTAAGGATCAGTTTGAAGTATATTGATAATTTGAATATTTATTTGATAGGAAAGTGTAACTGATTTCTATTAATAAAGGAGGGCAATCCACCCTCAACATGAACAAAAAGGATATTTACAAGTATACCATGACTCCCCCAACCAAACTATACAAGTATGTGAGATATACCAAACAGTGATTTTTCTGGCTATGATGTCGTGACCCCAGCTGTAAATTAATCTAATGCTACCTAAGTGCAAACCATTGGATATAGGAGTACATGCATCAAGACCTTCTAGAAACATCATTATGAATATTAGCTCATTTTTATTACATAATGAACAAAGTTTCTATCTCATGTTATTCTTTGCCACTAAGGCTACTGCACCAATGTCCTAACGTACCACTTCAAAATTCAGTTCTTTCCTAGTCTCTGAACAGAAAAAAGACCCCAAGTTTTTAGGAACTGGTAGACTATCATTTAAAAAACCTTTCTTCAACTAAGCAAAAAATAATAATAATGATCTCCTCTCTATTCTCTCTTGAGGTCAGTCTCCTAGGAGCAAAGACAACAAACTCGTTAAGTTCTTTCTTTTTATTTATTTATTTCTATTTTTTTAATTCCAATTAGCTTGGTGTAGTGTCATATTCATTGTTTGGCAAATGATATGCCTGTGAAACCACGCCCCTTGTTATATAATCATAAGTTAAGCTTACATTGCAGCGATTGCCGCATTAGGACTAGGATTCTCATTGTTTTTGTTCTTTTTGATTTATAAAACCCCCCCAAAAAAACATCTCACCATATAATTACAATCCAGCAGATATCAGAAGTATACCAGAAGCCTTCACAGGGAAGGCAATTAAAAATAGAATTCTAGTTCAGGTGTTTAAAACGTGGGGTTATGTTAGTAATAGAGAAATTTCCGAAGCCATAAAGACTAAGGAGAAGGAAAGAAACAGAAAAGGATTGGCATACCATGGTTAAATCCATAGAACGCGCTCGCCGTGCCCCCAACAGCAGTACCAATCTAAATTGCAAAAACAAACAAAAAAAAAAAAAACACATACACACAGAAACTTTAGAGGAAGAAAAAGAAAGGGGAAAGGAACCAGGCTGGGTGTATAGAACCGAATAGTTATAATATAGCTATGATGTAGGATTTATAGATCAGAAAATAGAGAAATTCGACTTTCACAAAAATTGAAAAAGAAAAAGAAATCCAAACCTACCAAAGAAAAACTGTCCCTGATTAATGGTGAAACAGTCCAACTACTAGTTTCCTGGCATCATTCGAAAAGGGCATCAGCAATTGGAACCAAGCTTTAGAAGAAAAGAAGAATTTCAATTACCAACTTACCATATCTTTGGAGAGAGGACCAGCACAGTGAGGACATCTCAGAGAAGGATCGTTTGGATTATCCATTATCAGATTCGTCCACCTTCAAGATTGGAAGGGCTCTCTCTCCCTAGATCGCTCGAACACACACGTTGTCAGAAAAAACCCTTCATAAACCCATGGAAAAAGAGTAGTTGTGGCTGTGGGCTGTGGACCTGTGGTACCAGAATACAAAGTTGCCAGCTGCCACCCCAGAACACTGATTTGGACCATTGATTAAGCCAAGTGGCTCACTTACACTGATTCAATAATGCCACCGTGTAGAGACGGGATCTGCTCCTCCTCACACGGGGTGCATACAGCGACCTCACACGCACATCCTACCATACTTGTAAGTTTTTATTCATGGGAGATGTTCCCAATGCACGGTGGATGTGCCTGTGAGGCGCCCCAGTATGAGAAGCAGATCCCGTTCCCACCATGTATATCTCAATATATTAGGGATGTCATTTCTTTCTGTCCGGCTTGATTTCTAAGAGCCAGTTTGGTTTGCCCGAATAGGGGTCTGAAATCAGAATCAGAATGGGCTATTCCGATTTCAACGGGATGGAATCTCATTTTCATTCCTGCTGGAATTAGCATTCCCCATTTGAAGGAATGGCCATTCTCTGCCCCTTTTTTGGGAATGAAATCCCATTTCTGTTGATTCTAATTCCCAATCATATAATTGTTTGAACCAAACAAACTAGGGGAATAAACCATTCCCGATTCCAAAAGATTTCAATTCCAATTTCAGTTACGAGCCAAACAAACCCTAAATCAATTTAATGATTCTTTTAGGTTATGTTTGGTTTGAAAGAAAAGATAGGGAAAGGAAGGAAAAGACAGGGAAACCAATACAAGGGTTGTAAAGATCTCCCTATCTTTTCCTCCCTTTCCTTACATTTTCCTTCTAACCAAACATAGCCTTAAGTAAAATCTTTTTCCTAAATTGATGGGCTCCTAATCCTTTCTCTTTCAAGCCCTCTTTCACACATATAAAAAAAATGTCCTTCAAGCCCAAAACAAGCTAGAATTCCAATTATATGAAAACCCCAATAGTCCAATACTCCAATCAATGGAATCAGAGTGGAGAGTTAAAAGTTGGAGACGGGGATGGGAAGTATAATCCCCCACCCCATTTGTTGCCAATTCCTATGCAATTTTGAACGGATCCATTTGCAGCCCCAAAGGGAACGGGATCTGCTCCTCACACATGGGTGCCTCATAGGCACATCCACTGTGTATTGGGAACATCTCCCATGAATAATAACTTATAAGTACGGGAGATATTCCCAATACATGATAGGATGTGTGTGTGAAATCGGTGTGAAGAGCAGATCCAGTCCTGCCCCAAAGTCACTCACTACCAATAGCCAATAGGCAAAGGCAATAGGGCTACAAACGATATCCCATAATCCGATTTCGAATTTGAATTCGACCATATTAAGGGTGATTCAAATTCAATTCATTTACAATTGGATCAAATATGGATCTACCTTGATTCGATTCGATTTAAATATATATATGCTTATATATACTTAAAAATTATATTATATTTGTGATTGAAGTTTTTTTTAATGTTATATTTCAACCAAATTGTCATATGTTCAGGTTTTATACAAGTAATCTTCAATTCATTTTGTTCATAAAATATAATGTTAAAGTCATTTTTAACTCATCTTATTAATAATATATAATATTTCGATCATTTTTTAGTCTAATTTATTTATACTATTTAATATTCAATTATAATCTAAATTTGATTCAAATCTGCTAAATATCCAACACATATGATCCGATTCGAAATCAAATTTGGATATACCTATATCCCATCCGTTTGCAGCCCTCTCTCCTGGTAAAAGAAGAATGAAGCTGAAGCAAGCTCCTTCCTTGACTCCAGCATTCGGAAATAGAAAAGATGTAAAGACTAAAGATGAAGCAGCATATATTTTGCTCACAACGAAGGAACTGAGATGAGATCCAGTAAAGCCTTGATTGAAGGTTCAAAGTATTGATGCATATCAGGCCGTATCAGCCAATATATATTGTATCAGGAACTTCCCGATACACCCTAAAGTTTTGACTGATTCAGGGGGTGGATGAACCTTAAACCAGCCCCTCTGAATCGGATTTGAAAAAAAAAAAAAAACTACCAATACAGCGAAGCGTATCGATATTTTGAACTTTGGCCCCTGATTACACAATCCACCAAAGACACAGATGCTTAGTCCAAGAAAGCCGCTATATGTGACCACAAACGGCTTTTCACCCCATATATCTTTTATCATTCTTCTCTATGCACTACTATTTTAACCCTTTTAACTTTCTAACTTCTTGGTTAGTGTTACTGTTATCAAATAAGCAAACAAATCCGTTTTCTTTTATGACTTAGTGTCTCACAATTCAATTTTCACGTGAGATACCTAACCGTAAATAGCTCAGGAAATATCACCACGTCTGCACTCTATCTGACGAAAAAAAAAAACAAGCAAAATAACTTGCAAGATGTTTGCCTAATTAAGCGCAAAGCTAAGCTTTTGCAATTTTATGGCATAACAATTGGCCTTCCTCTTAACTAATGGAATGACTTTCCTCTTCACTTTTAACTGTCAAAACAACACTCTGCATAGTGCCACACAAAGGGAAGAGATTTACTGCTCCAAATGGTGAGGATAAATAAAGGTGCATGAGTGCATCAACAAAGCACAGACCTGAAAATGTCCGATTCCCCCGCCCCCTCCTCCCACTTAGGAGTCTGACACAGTCTGTTCAATCATATCTCCATCTCATCTCTTTGTCGGTCTCTGGCGGGAGAAAGTTTGAGATGCCATCAGTGCCACTTTAAGAGGCTCTGATGTTGCAAATCCCTGGGCCTCCATCAGGCCATGTATCTTCTTAGCATCCTGTACAAATCCACCAGCTATTAGCCCATTTATTATCCTCTCAAAATCATCTTTTCTCAAGAGCTCCTTCTTGGACTCTACAACTCCTAATGCTTCCAGAGCTTTCTTCTCAATCCCCAACCTTGAATACATATCACAGAGGCTCACATGAACTCTGAACGGACGAGCCTCACCCTTCTCATCAATCTTACTTATTAGTTGCTCAGCTTCATCAACAAGAAGCAACTTACTTAACCAATCCACCAAGACATTGTATGTCTCAACACCTGGTTCAAATCCATCCTTCTCAAGCTGCAAGAGAAGATTCAAAGCTTTGTCCAAAAGGTTCTTCTTGCCATAGGCTGCAATCATGCTAGCAGTGCACCTATCATCAACCTTGTGGCCCATTTTTATCATATAATCAAAGTTGTTCCTGGCCATATCTGGATCACCTGCCTGCCCATAGGCCTCAACAAGTAATGTGCATGACTCCAAGTTAGGCTCAACTCCTGCAAATTGCATTACTGTCGCAATTCTTTGTGCCGCATCAACATGACCACGTTGGGCAAATGATCTCAGTAGTGCCATGTAGATCTCTTTGCTAGGTTTAATGTCTCTTGCCTCCATCTCTCTCATTAGCAACTCACCCAACTTGGGTTCACCTGCATTTACATAAGCCATGATCATCCAGTTGTAGGTCCTTACATCAGGTTGGAAACCTTGTCTCCTCAAGCTTTCAAATGCTTCTTTTGCCCTATCAAGATTGCCTGCCTTGCTATACATGTGAACCAAGATGGTGGAGGTTAAAATGTCTGGTTCAATACCCCTTTCAGTCATCTTCTGAAGGATTCTCTCAGCATCTTCTAAGTGGTTATCTTTGGCATGAGCTTCAATGAGTTTTGAGTAGTCACGGATATTTGCCTGGAAAGATTGCTCATTCAGAACCAGCTCAGCCACCTACAAAAGAACAGGAAAAGTAACCACCTTGATTAGTTAAAAGGGAGCTATCATGTTCTCTCCCAAACTGGAATATTAATAAGATTAATTTCATCTACCAGAAATAAACAAGCAAACAAGAGCACGATTAGCAACTTCAAGCTCTACAGATACTGGATCAAGACATTTGAGAGTCCACATTTCTTTATGGTGAAAGATCAAGAAAATTTTCATTCAAGTAGGAAAAATTCACACCATAGAAGATATAGTTCTAGGATAACACTCTGAGTCTGCAACCATCACCCAAAATAAATAAAGAGTTAACAATCTTTCGTTTTTATTTTTCAAAATACATCAACCGTGCAGAATCACTAGCCATGTTGCTTGAGCAGGCAAGCATGATCCTTCACACAAACATGAAAAGAAAAAACGAAGGAGCAGTAAACAAAAGAGTCTGACCCGGAAACCAAAAACGAGAACTGCCAATAGAGAAATTAGAAGAGAAAACTGATTGGATCCAAGGTAGGGGGCCAAAGGGTTTTACAGGGGCTATAACCCTAACTTCCTCTTGGGGAGGGGGGGACTAAATACCTAGGAGCAATATTAGCCATAAGAATTATTTATCAAAAAAATATTAGCCATAAGGATTGAACAAAGACAAGTCTAAGATAGGTTTTACCCTAGGCTATCCAAATACAGAAAAGGACAAGGATATGGGAAATGAAATACAACTCTCCATTTCCCAAATTTCAAAATACAGATATGGATATAGATTTCATTGTTATTTTATTATTTTATACCTTGGTTGATTTTATAAAATGTTATGATAGATTATTCCTTCTAGCTACCAGATTGCTGCTCAGCTCAACCATCTCATATCCCATTTAATATGCCAATACATTTTTTATCTAGATTTTCAAGCTAAATAACATTCCTCGGCACTTATATCTTGCAAAATTTAATTAAACTTCTAAGGTACATATTAGTTGAAGTAGATATAAATGATTTAAGGGCTCGTAATTTAAAAACGCATATGGCACTGAACATAACAAAATGGTGGAATAGGATTCATGTGGCTGACCTCATGAAGCTGGAACAAGGCATAGATGATGATTTATTATAATATACTACTAGACATATTTTAGAAGTGTTGGGACTGCAAAGTATATACTAAAGGGATTGCAATATTTGACACAAGTATGCTAGGCATGTAAAGGTATCCAGGTATCATAGTTTTCACCAACCTCTATACTTAAAAATTCCTCAGTGCGCAAACTGAGATTCCCAGGATCCTCTAAGTAGCTTTTGGTTTGAAATAAACAAAATTCCTTACAATAATTCCAATGGCAATTTCATTAGGATTTTATCATAGGCCTTGTAAAAGACCAGTTAAGGGTAAAAAAGATGAAATGGCATTGCAAAATATCAGTATTGGACTTCATGATATTCTTCATAACTCTTCTTCTACTGCTTTCTCTCTCAATCTCTGTGACTCTTGTGAGCAGATACTAAGCATCATCTCTTTGTGAGCAAAAACTAATTGTGTCATTGGAACTTGCTCCCAAAGCACTTCTTGTCATTTCATGCCTTCCTTTTTAGTCTCTTTAATATTATTCTTGATCAATCATAAACAACAAATTAGCAACTATCTAGAATGTTTTTTTCTTTTCTTTTGTTATATAGGTCTATCGAGAATTTGTTGCTGTTTTTATGAATATGTTTGACAATCAAAAATGTTTACACTAAAGAATAGGGATATATTAATGTTCTTAGAATTAAACTATAGAACTAGATTGATATTTTCCACTGCTACCAGTATAATGCATGTTTTTTTTATCAGTATACCAGTATAATGCATATTGAAGCAAAGATTATGATCTAAGATGGTGTAGCAAGTATTATCATAACTAGTAGTAATCATAAGAAAGCAAATAAAAACCAAGTGTCAATTCAACCCAAAATGGAAGTAACAAGACAGACAACCTCTCATACTAGGAGGCATCCATCCCATAATTAAATAGAAGAAAAAATAAAGCAGATAAAAAGTCACACTGGGAGGGATGCTATCCAATATAACTCCACTCTCTCAACCCTCCTCTAGATAGGCTATCTGGCCAAAGATTGGCTGACCTACTCATAGAGGGGGCATACACGTATTAAGATTGCTAAGCTTACATGATGCTCTAAAGTCTAAACAAAACTTAAAAAGTCCAAGTATTAAGATGTGTGATTTTCTTTCTTTATAAAAAAATGATGTTTCTCTTGGATATAACTTACCTGGGTAAGTTATAACTGGGTAAGTGATACCCATCTCCCAGGTGGGTAAGTAACTTTTCCACCTTGGGACGGGGGGAGTTGCTAAGATGCCAACAGACCAAAGTGTCCCTATAATCAAAATGGATAACAGAAGAGTCAGGGCACAACTTCTCCTACCCATCATTCAAATCAATCACTGCTGCTCAAGGAAGAAACACCGCTTTCTTTTGGATCTTCATCAACATGACTGTGACTGAAAATCAAATAGGATTTCTTTTGCTGGTATTTTTTATTTTGTTTAAATTTGAAAAGAGAACTAGAAAAGTGATTAGATCTGCATCTCCCGTATAAAATATCCATTAAATCTCCAGAGCCAATGGGGAGCATGCAGAGGATCCAGCCAATGCTGCAGAGGCTGTTGAAAGGGAGGAAGAATCTAACTACCAGCCTATGAAGGATGAGTCAATTAATGAAGTAGAAACCCAACAAGATGAGTTGGAGTTTGTTCAAGAGGATGGCCTAGCCTCACAATTTATCATCCAATCCCCAACTACTCAAACTCAATCAAGTGCCCCATCAACCTCTCACCCTCATAGATCAAGTAAGAGGGCAAGGAGCAACATGGAGGATGACTCCTCAGTTAGGGTGCTTCCAGAGGAAATGGCTAGGGTGGGACAACACTTTGCTGCAGCTGGGGATAGGCTTGCACAAGTGGCAGATGCATTGAATGTAGATAGGGAGGGTAGGGAGATGAGAAAGAAAGTGTTTAAACTTTGAACAGATATTGAAGGTCCTTGATTTAAGCCTAAATGAGAGGATGAAGAGTGGGTAAGAAGTTGACTAGTGACATGGGAGAGATTGAGTAATTTTTTAGCATACCACCTGATTTTAGGCGTGCATACATTCTCTCTCAGGCCTCAGCTCCTCCCAGATCAGTAATTCAGTAGAACAATGATTATCTTTCTTTGGGGTTGATTAGAAAACTTAAAATGGGAAAGTTTAACTATGATTAAGTAATTACTAGTTATGATTGTAATTTGTGTACTTTGTTTAGGTTGATTAAATAGCCTTCTGGTTATAAACTTGTTGGTAGGATTTAAAAGATGAGTTTAGTCCATTCTAGCCAATTAAAGAACCACAATTGTTCATTTTGGCCCAAGGGCAAAATTGGCAATAGAGAAACAAAAGATCAACTTACCTGGATAAGTGATTGAGGCAAAAGAACATGGGTAAGGTAAATAGCCTAACTTTCCCGGATAAATTTCATGATTAAAGAACATGGATAAGTGCATTTATCCGAGTAAGTGTTACCTGGGAAACACTTACGCAAGTAAATGCACTGACCCAGATAAGTAAGTTAACGAAAAAACAAATGGACCCTAAGTGATATAGGAGGTCACCAAGAACAAATTAAGAGGGGGGAGAAAAGCATTTGAGAGAAAAATAAGTAAAAAAATGTAATATCATGTAAAGAATAATAAGCATATTCTTTAATAGAAAGAACAGTTTAGGTCCATATCCAGTCTACCCCTTCCAATACCACATATGAGACTGGATACCAGTATATTACATGGACACTCTAAGATTATATAGAATGGTCACTTCTAAAATATGTAAATGGTAGAAAAAGCAATTACCCAATGTAGGTACCAGCTATCCAGGGTATTGGAAGGGGTAGACTGGATATGGACCTAAACTTTGGCATTATTCATCCCAAAATAAAGTGACCACTCTCAGATTGCCATTCTAAGCAAGCAATGATGACCACTTAAAATATGCAATTAGTATCTATCCAAAATCTGTACATATTGGGAGCTCAATTAAATTTTACAAAATATTTGGGATACATGAGTGGTCACCCTCCCCTCAAAACCCCCAATCCCTGGTGAAGGTGAGATTCGATTCCAAGTCTCCATAACAAGGCTACAACCAATGTAATTATCAAAAAAAAAAACAACGCTACAACCAGTGAGAGACCTTACCAGCAAGATAGAAGTCTCCTCTACACTTAATGTAAAACTTAATATAAAGGTACCATATCAACATACTAAACAGGATTACTAGTACCTATATTCATATCATGGTTCTGCTTGTTTCCTCCATTCATGTATGTGTCCATATCTGGCATCTCAACAAGGTTAAAACCAATGTTCAACTATCGAAAAAAAAAAAGGAGAAAACCAATGTTTTAAAAAGGTGTGAGGCATATCAGGCAAGGCACCCCCAAAGTGCCCTGACGTGTATGCCAAAGGTGTTGATGGTGCATGAGGTGCATGCCTCATACACCCCTTGCATGAGGCATACTAGAGGTGTACGTCTCATGCACGCCTCATATGGGCTTCATGCATGCCTCATACTAGAGGTTTACTCCTCTTTCTTCTTCCTCCTCATCTCCCTCCCCTTAAGCCTCCTTGTGCTCACTGCTCACTTGCTCAGGAGGCTTATTCCTCTTATGTTCTAAACTACATCCAATGCCTCCAGGTAGTGGGCTTATGCCTTGTCATCGTCGTCCATGCCTTGTCCGTTATCCCAACTATATATGGGGTCAATTACATGAATCCTGTATTGCCAGTCCATTCTATTTAAATATATATATCCACTATTAAATTATTGGTGCTTAAATCATTTCTTACTACTGCCACCCATGTCCCGTTTTTTGATAAATTCCACCCATGTCTTTTTTGGTCTAACACTAGCCCTTCTAGCCCCTTCAACTTATAACAAATCACTTCTTCTCTAACTGGTGTTGTTGATAGTCTTCTATGCATGTGACCAAACCATGTTAGTCTGCTTTTTCTCATTTTATCACCTATTGGGGCTACACCTAGGTTCCTACGCATGACTTCATTCTTGACCCTTATTTAGTTTTTCTGCTCATCCATCTTAGCATTTACATTTCTACCACACTCATTCTGAATATGTTGTTTCATATACTCTGTTTTAGTCCTACTTATTTTAAAATCTCTTGTTTCTAAGGCATTTGTCCATAAGCTTAATTTTGCATTTAATCCTTCAATAGTTTCATCAATTAAAACAATGTCATCCACAAACAACATACACCATGGAACTTTCTCCTAAATTGTCACACCTCTGCATTTTAAACACTGGAGAAAAACAGGCCATATGATCTCCATCCTATTAATCCTAAGGTCCTAAGCTAACCACCTCCTCAATCCTCATATCTCGTTATCTTCAACAACAACCAAGAAGTCAAATCATCTATGCAATGAGGGTTAGCAAGGTGCCTAAATTCCAAATTTAGTATTAGACTCATAAACTAAATCTATGTTAATACTACTACTGATAAAAATTAAAGCATAGTCTAAGGATAAATTATTAGAATACTTATGTCGCAAGAAGCCATCAAGTTTTCCCCCTTTGATTTTTTTTTTTTTTGGCTCAGGTAATTAGTTTTTTGTTCGTGAAACATGTTATGTACTTTAAAGGCTGAGAACTTCATTGCTATATTTTTCTGATTTGGAGTTGATTACGAATTTGGTGACGGTTAACAAGGCAGGCCCCAGGTGCATCTGATGCAAATTACAAATAGCCATTTGTCAATAATTGATTATTTACATGTCCAAAAACTACAATTAAAAAACTTCAAAAATGATGCTGCATATGATAATTTGGTGAAGCAACAACTTAGAAACTCATATCTCCACGTTGGTTCAGATTCTTTAGAAACAATAAGCACCATTGTCAGCTTTAAAATTAATGTCCAGAGACCAAGATTGCAATCGTATTCCTTTTTGTCTCAATAGATCAGAATGGATTGAATTTGGATAACTTTCAATTTAGTTGGCCATATTTAAGTTGTGGCCAGCAGAAGAAATGCAGAGTTACATTTAGCTCAGGTATTGAATCTTTATTAACTTCAGGTTCATGAATGGTCATGGAACATTTTAAGAAGTGGTTCGGCAAATTTTAATTCCTCTTCATGATTCCTAGTATTATCACACACTCACTAAGTAGCAATTTCATTTATAGAGTGAAACCGAACTCTGCTATCCTATTCACTTTTATACTCTGAATTGTAAAGACTATTTACATAAAGAAAGGGGAATGAAGCACCTAACCTTTAAGTATAAATTCCCATTTCGTTCTTCCGACCTGCGAAGCAAAGCAAGCCAATCAACCCTCCCAGGCTCAACAAGCTCCACCCACTCAGCCAGCAAAGAAGATGGGTCATCCTCCTCCTTCAGAGATAGGATTCTCTCAGTGACCAGCTTGCACTTCCCAGTAAGAAGCTTTGGTTCCTCGGGCGTAATGAGTTTCTCTGCTTCATGGATCCTATCAGCCACTTCAGCCCATTTTGGATCGGACATACCAAGACCGTAAATCTTATACTTAATCTTCCCACGTCTCTGTGGAAGTGTAATGGCCCTTGGTTTCCCTTCAACCACATCCGATTCATCCGAAACAATCCCCTCCTCCTTATTCTCAGCTTTCTTTCCTTCTTCATGTTCTTGTTGTCGAGCTTCTTCCCGAAGACGCTCCAAATTCTTATAGAAACCACTCTCCTCCATTTTCTCGCGTGCCCATTTGAACCTCAGCTCCCTAAGCATGTCTCCTCGAATACCCACTTCGCAGGCAAATCGGCACATCTCCTTAACATCTTCGGATTGGAGAAATCTCTTCATTTCTTCCTTCTTCATCGCCTTCTTCATGTCATCAAGGACCGAATTGCTGATCTCCCAGACTGTTTTCCATAAATCTTCACTGAAATCATGTGAAGGAGTGCTCGCGGCTGCACCGAGCATCTGTCCGAGCCCACCCTTCTCCATATCTGAAACAACCTTCTCCACAATGATCAAAAGCATGCTATCTATGGTCTGCTTGTCACAAGACGGGTAAGCTTCAGTGAGTTTCCCGCGCATTATCCAGACGAATCGTGACAAGAACTCGTTCATGGGTCCATCCTCGAAGTCAGACTCCGCCTCAGTGTCCGAGTCAACCGGTTGGGCTTCTTGAGCAGAATGCAGAAATCGGCTTGGGAATGACATGAACTTCGCTCTTCCTATAGGAATGAAGCCATGAAAGTTTGCCGGAGATATGGAAGGTGAGATCAAGGTCGTAATGCAGGGCACATTTCTGTGAACCGGAGGAAAAGAGTGGATCACTCTTCTCGTGGGTCTTGATAGATTGGCGATTGCTTGTTTCGAGAAGAATAAAGGTCTCAGCTTCATCGTCTGGTAAAAGATGGTGTCTGAGATGCGGGTACGAGAAGAAGAAGAAGAAAAGGTTGTCTTCTATAGCAAAGAAGGGGCGCGAGGAGTTAGGGTTGGAGAAATACCAAAATTTTTCCGATCGGGTCGGGTCGGATCATTTGGCCAGTATTTTTAGGGTGATCAACACAAACCGGTGAATCCAACCGAACCGAGAAAATCAAATCGAAATATCGGTTAATTGAACCAATCGGCTGTTAATCCGACCGGTAAATATATAATAAATTATATATATTTATAGTCATCATCATCATCCATGTCTTATCCCAACAATATATATAGTATTTATATTATATATTTATATATTTATTTATAATATATTGTAAAAATAAAAAAACCTAGAAATCAAAGAACTAGACTAATTAAAAATCAAATCAGTTTTGGTTTACAATTTTTCAAAAACCAATAGTACCGGTTCAGTTTCAAAAAAGAGCTCACAGTTTAATTAACAAACCCTAGTTTTTTTATAGGGATGGCAATGTTCTCCATCACCCACTAGGTACCTGGTTCCCCAATTTGATGGGGTCGGGGATGAAGAATAAAGTTCTCTGCCTTCTCAATTAACTGTGCTGGGTGAAGTAACCTAGTGGGGACAGGGATGGGGATGGGGAGTGAATTGCTTGGCCTGTCCAGACCCTGATTATATATTTAATATATATTTTATATTAAATATATATAATATTATTTATATTATATATCAAAATATATTTAAAATAATATTGTATTTTAAAAATTTTACTTTATTTTAAATAAATCTATTTTCCAAAAAAAAAAAACCTTTAAATTTAGAAATGTTGAGGATTTGGGTCCCCGATAGGGATCCATCTCAATCTGGGATCAAGGATGGAGGGTCACTTTTCTCCTTAATGAGGGTCAAGGCTGAGGACGAGGGTTTCTTTTAAAGTTAGGGTCGGGGATGGGGAGTATGGTCCCCACCCCAATCCTGTCCCATTGCCATTCCTATTTTTTGTAGGGGTGTAAAAAGATTGAAACGAATTTAAATATGGGCATATATTCGATTCAATTATATCATCGGATATCCAATTCCAATTCGATTCGATACAATGGGAGAAGATGAATAAGGAAGAAAATTTGAAAGGAAGAACTTATGTGGAGGAAATGAGGACTTCAGTGACTTTGCATCAAATGGAGTGGAAATGAGATCTCTAACCTCTATTTAACACTAGTAGTGAGACAACAATTATTCCAATTGTCAAAGTTTCCAAACTTAGGTTTAGGGTTTTGGGGCTTTTGTAGTTTCGCCATTCATCGTTGGAAAATCCCCTATGCGACTAGAACAAAATTAAAAGAAAAAAGAATTAGAGAAGAGGGAGATTTATTTCACTATGGTAATAATGAGTATTTGGGTTTTAAGGCAAGTTTGATTCTAAGGTTGGTTCTACATGTTGGTTCAAGTAGGGTAAACCCCTAAATTTAGAACCGATTTTGATGGGGTCAGTTTCAAGAATTTGGAATCAGATGCAACCTAGTAATAAATTGGGTAGAGTCGATTCAAGTCCGGTTCCATTTGATTCCATTTAGAACCTACCCATTTTATCACCCCTAGTTTTTTATAGACCAATTATTTTCAAAACCCAAACATTGGAAGGTCATGTACAACACCTCGATTTGGTTTATGAATCCGAACATGGGATGTCTTTGATATAGAGAATTAAGCAAAAAAACAGCATAGGGTCCATTAGGTTCATGATCAATATCAGAATTAGAATTGGAATGGAAATCCCCTATAATCAAAATCAGAATCACTTATTCCCAATGCCTGTTTGGTTCAAACAGGAACTAGAGTCATATATTTCAATTGTTCATCCAAAAATTGGAATCGGAATCAACTAAAATTTCTTAATTCTGTATTAGTTTATTAATGTTTTAATATTATCATTTTATTGTTTTATTTTATTAATAGTTATTGATGATTTATGATTTTTATTATCATTTAATTATTACTATATTATTATTGTTTACCTTATTAGTATTTTATTATTATCTTGCTATTACTTTAATAATATTTTTCCTAATATTAAGGTTAAGTGTATTAGGGTTTAGGACTTTAGGGTTTTTTTTGTCAAGAGTTCTTTATCTTTTAAGAAACTATACATTGAGAATCTCATTCCTATGGGCCATGGAATGGCCATTCTCCTATGTGGGGGAATTCCATTCCACCAAGAATGGGAATCAGAATCCCATTCTGATCAAATAAATAATTGGAATCGAAATGGGCCTTTTTTATTATGATTCCAAACACCTGTCCGTGAAACCAAATGAACCCTTAGAAGTGAATTGCAATTTGCAAGGGTTTCAGAATGAACTTGTTGGAAGGGACCCAATTTCATATTTGAACATGAAATGAGTAACACCATGACTAGTAACAATCACGATATCCAAAGGAAATGTAGATTCCTAATCCTAGGGTTTCATTTCATGGACTAAGGAGCATGAAACTATCAGTAACCAATTCATTCATGAAGTGATTAAGATTATCAAAATTGGTTATAATAACATTCAATTGAAGCTGAACGAGGAAGGATGAGAGGAAGAGGGGGTATCTTGTTCTTTGATACCAATAAAGATTCTGGGATATGTCTGTGACTCCAAATAAGACACAAGTAACATCAAGAGGCATTACCAGATTGGACATGTTAAGAATCTCAGCGGAGTAACAGTGAATCCCATTGGATGTGGTTGCCTTTTGCTCCAAGGTCTCTTTTCACAGCCACTTGAAGAAGGGGAATACAAGCTTTTTGAGTGAAGGGGATGTATCATGTATGTGTTGAGTTACACAGAAATCATCTTGATGCAGATGGCCAAATGACCAAATCAGTAGCCCCAGGGCTTGAGAAAATCATACGAGCAACTTGGATATACATATCTGAGGACTTTGATGGAGAATATAAGCTTGCATTCATGAATGGACAATGGTTTAAGAATATGTGCATGAAGTGGGTATCCTTGTCACAGAAAAGTTGATGAGAGAATGTCAGATCAAAGTACCCATATTGTGGTACTTTGATGTCTATTCAATTTTAACTGACTGATGAATTCATTTTATGTGTTCATTATATATATATATATATATATATATATATATATATATATTATGCTTTTTGCTGCAATAGGAAGGAAAGTGGCTATATATCTTTTGGGCGGGATGCTTACGTTAGGTAATGGGGAACACTTCTTATCAAAGAGTATAAGACCACTACCTTAGAAAAGGGTTCATTCTATCTACTTGAGAGATCACAAATTTGTCATTTACCTTCAAACAAGCTATAAAAGCCTTCCCGACTTCTGAGAAAAACTGAAGTGTTTGTGTAATTACTCTTTTTTTTTTAATAGCAGTCACTATATTCCCAAATGCACGCCTGTAGACTGTAGTGATATGGATAAGGATGTAGGAAGAATTTGTGGGAGATCGAGTGCAAAATAGGTTTATTTGAATTAGTACTAATCTATCTTTCAGTTATTTCTTTGAAGTTTGAACTAGTACTAATTTTATGCTTCTGTCAAAGTACTAAATAAACTTTAAACAAGTCATCCCTAAACATCTACTACAAAACAATGTTTTTGAATTGTCGTTGATCTAGTCGGACTGTTCGGATCGAAAACCGTTTAGGCAATCAGTTCCGTTTTACCCCAAACCCGGCATTTGGTCAAAAACCATTGAATTAATCAACAAACCGTTGACCCGGACAGTTTGACGATTAAACTGTTCGACCCGAAGAATAGTTTGTTGTAAAGTTTTAAAACTGAGAAATCTCAGATCTGAGACTGAGAAATCTTAGATCTGTGCATATCTATCTTTCTCACATGAGAAGGTGAAAGAGATCTGAGATGTGTGAGACAAATCTGCGCAAGATGGTGTGAGAGAGTGAGATCTGAAACTGAGAAATTTCATATCTGCCACCATCACCGCCACTGTTGCCACTGTAATTCGCCATCGCTGCTGCAAGCCTGCAACCTGCAAGTTCTCCTCCTCCTCCTCCTCCTCCTCCTCCTCCTCCTCTTCTTCCTCTTCTTCTTCTTCTTCTTCTTCTTCTTCTTTTAAACTCTTTCAGTTCAGCCGACATTTTTCTCAAATCTCTCTCATTTAAAGTTTCAACCCTTATTTTCTCTTATATAGTATGCATCTTACCCTAATATTCCAATCTAATGGGTAAGATGTTCAAACCGTTTGAACCGTTCGACCCGGGCGGTCGAACTGCTGACCCAGAAACCAGTGGCTAAAACGGTTCCATCAGTTTTTAAAGCCTTGCTACAAAATCCTAAGGGTCCATTGTTTTTTGGATTTTGAGAGGGGGAAAAGTTGGTCAATGGGATTTTGATTCCCATGACCAAGATACCCATGTTCTTTCTCATATTTATGTAAGGCCCACGGAAAATTTATTTTCCTTGAGTTCGTTTACCTAAGTGATACACATATCCCAAACGGGATTTTCTACTCACTTTTCCTATCCACTCTCTACCTGTTGTGAACTTTAACCACACATCTCTATTATGAATTGAGAGATGTGCGGCTGCAATTCACGACGGGTAGAAAATCTAGGTTCCCCATCTCCTAGGTGGGTGAATAACTTTCCCATCTAGGGGGAAAGTTGCCAACAATTGGATGCAACAATATTACCCCTTTCAATAATGGACTTTTATGGTTAAAATGGTCATTATATTATTTTTTCTGGAAAATAAAAGAATATGGACAAATGCACTTACCCACATAAGTAACTTCCCAAAAAGCGAACAAGGCCTAAGTGGCACCAGTCCTGTTATCCTTTATTTTTTGCATGGTTAAGATAAATTCCTGGGTCACATTTATTAAGAGTGCAAATGCAGAACCAAAGCTAATTTATACTCTGGTTTGATTTTGCAAATGTTTGATAAAAAACATGTTTTTTGTACTGAAAATGAAAGTAAACTTGTTTTTTTTAAACAGTTTTTGCATTCAAAATGGAAGTGAAGTATGTTTTTATTTTGAGGAGGCAAACTTTGCACTCAAATTTAATCTATGTAAAATAGGTCGTTTTCGTTTCCAAAATTGGGATTCCATCACAACCAAAAAAGACACCGTAAAAAAATTGAACCAGGTTTGTTAACATGAATTTTAGTTGGTTATAGATAGACATCAGTAATTATAATTAGCTTACACATCTCCCTCACTAAAGTTGTTTTGTCAAAGATGGATCAACATGAAGAAACATGGAAGTATACAAATTGGATAGACAAGCCTAACTATAAACCGAAACTTGATAAAGAATAGGGAGGAAAAGGGAAAAAATAAAGAGAACAATTTGATCCCTCCTATCCTGATTTAGACATCTTGCTATGACTTGTTCAATGAACTAATTCTTGAACCTTTCTTTACCTGCTTGATATTAATTCCTAGCTATACTTATTCCCATTATAGGTCATCATGATCATGCATTCCAGTTCACCTTTTATTGCTTAACTATTGACAATTTAACAATTTGAAAGAAAAGGTAGGGAAACTATAGGATGTAATTAAATTTCAACCTCCAAATAAGGTATTAGTTCAATCAAATAGTACTTTTCAAATCATTGTTTGACCTAAGCACGCAATTAAGATAAATGGACTTGACCAAAAATGTTGGTAGCTTATAGAAACTAGAAAGCATCTAATCTAACCAAATTAGTTAAATGGAGGGGCAAGGGCCCCATTTTCTGTGGTTTTGGCTGGAAAGAATGACAGATTCTTGACTTGAGAATATGACCCAGCAATAGGCTGGAATTTTAAGTTAAAAAAAAAAAGTTTAAACTCTCAAGATTCTCAAATGCCATTCCATGGGAATCTCAACTTTTTTTGTTTTTTTTTCACAAGGAATAATATCCCCATTGCTGTTCTTACTTTATTTCAACCAAATGATGTCACGTCTGGTGAGCAAGCCAGAAACAATGGCCACCTTACACGTTTCTAGCTTGGAATTGACTTGTTTAACCTCCACGCATTCCCATTCGAGAGCTTAAATTATATCCAATGGCATATTAGCTAGCTACAAAGGAAGTACAAGTATACAAGTACATGAAACTACTGATACAGTTGAGGGCATTTTAGCAACACTATTAAAAAAGGTAAAGTACTTAAATTGTGTCCTGGAGGAACATGAAATGAAAGTTATGCCCTTATGTTTATGCTGTGGATTGGCTGTAGCCCCATAGATAAACTAGTGTGGGGGGTTATTGATCCCTTCCTCCCTCCAATCCAAAAAACTAGTGATGCCCAACGGGTTAAGCAAAATGTTGGAAATGATCGCAACATGCCCATCATAACATAGGATAGTAATAGTAACAGATTCATGTGACTTTTGGACTAAGGCCCACCAAAAGGGTCCAGATACATGTGAAATAGATGCACAGCACAAAACTGTTATATTCACTATTCACGGGTGAGCCCCCCCCCCCCCCCCCTTTTTTTTTTGTAAGACAGAATCTCAGCTTTGAAGGATAGGACTGAAGGTGGCGTTGGTGTCTTGGTGATGATGATGATGCCATGGGACATAATACATTAGTGGGTTGGTGAGGAGAAAAGCAGCACTTAGAACACTTTGGTGGCCATGCTTCATTTCAGACCCTCATCCCCCATGTATGTATATACAATTTATTCCTGTCCAGTGTCCACCACATGCCAGCAAACTCGCTACCCTTTTAAGTTTTAATGCACCCTCTCCCGCACCAGGCGCCACCAACTCGGCAAAGACAAAGACTGATTCTCCGAAATTAAATAGGCAAAACCCACGAATATCAGAATCAATACATTGTTCCTGCCTAGGAGTAGGAGGTTAGTTGATTTTAAAATAAGGTGTAGATACCATTTTAAGTGTAGAACTAGAAGAATCCCCTTTTTGTATATTTATAATGATTTTTATTTTGATATCACAATAATAATCATGTATCTTTACACTTAATTTCCCAAGTTCCTTGGTGCATTGGTGGGCCACCCTTCACTACAAAGAAAATTCTCACACCTCATGTAGGGGGGGATGGTAAATCCTCGGCCTGGGAAGTGCCAAGTTCCCACTGCCCTAGCCCCCCACTCGTACGTGATCATTCCTTAAGATTTTGATCCCATTTTTACATTTTATCTGATACAAAAACCGTCCAATGAAGGACTAGCACAACACAAGAAGCATTATTAATACAACATGGATGTCGACATTAGCCATTCTTTTAGGGCCATTAGTTCCCCCCAGTACTCGTAAATCGTAATCGACCATGGTGGCGGGGTGTCTGATTTGGTCTCTATTCCCCTAATATATGCATCTATTCCCCATTTTCTACTGATGTTGCAAAATGCCATTCCTTTCAAATATATTGATCGATCGTATGATTCCTGATTAACTTGTAAGATAATGGCCACTAAAAGATGATGAGGTCCCCTTTTTTTAAGAAACCTTCATTCATTCATTATGCGAGGAAACCGGAACAGTACAAGGAAGCATCACCACCACCACCACCCAGAGTGGCCCTCTAAGCCCGCTTAACCGTTCATCATAACTCATATGAAATATCTAATGCATTATGCCATGATAATGCATGCACCAAAGACCCATCAGAGCACATGCATCAACTCATGTCATGTCATGTCATGCCATGTACCTTCTATGGAAGAACATGCTTGTAAAATGGACTTTGGCGAGACAAATCAACATTTGTATGTATTTATCCACCGTCTATAATTATGCGAAATGCCAACTTTATGCATGGACCTTTTCATTCTGCAATGAAATATATGCTCATATTAGACTAAACCAAGCAAATAAATAGTAAATGATGTTTGAGGCATGCTCTCTACATCATAATCACCATCATTCAAGCCTTATCCCAATCATATGGGGTTGGCTACATGAATCCTGATTCTTAACAGCATGCTCTCTACATGCAGTTCAGAAAACAAGGAAGATGGCCGCATAGACAAGTAGAGGAATCCAGAAAGCAAAGTCAAGGAACATGGCAACTGGTCCTTCCGAGGGTCATGACCCATCCTGTTGCCCAACAATGCAAGTATGGAAGCAAGTACAAACTTTTCCTCCTTTTCTTTTCTTTTCTTCTGGGTCCCAAATCCTTCTGATTCGTCAGAGTGGGTCCAGTAGTCTCGTGCCAAGTGGGTAATGGAAAAGACCTGGGGCCCTCCCCCATTTTATACTGTATATGTTGAATAAGTACCAAACTTACCGAAGGAGACAAAAGGGAATTGTATTCCTAATTCCATTCCTTGCTTTCAGACAATCTCCAAGAAAGAGCATCTCTCCACAATTTCTATCTTTATTTCCCCCCGCCCCCTTCTCCCTCTCCCTCTCCTGAATATCTCATTCACTAGTCTCTAGATGCCCAAGTCAAAAGAATCTCCTTGTACATCACCACCCTTTTGATAGGTAACCTGGAACTAATCCCCATTCACTAGTCAAAAATAAAAAAAATTAAAAATAAAAAAGATAAAAGGGTCGATGTTCTTTTATTTCCAGCTGAAACCTTTGATAGGTAACTTGGAACTAATCCCCATTTCTAATCTTATTAATTTATTCTTCAGGACAATTTTAAATGATCTCAAAAGCATTGTTAACAAACAGAAACATGAAGATTTTGAGACTTGGATGTGGGTTGGCCTCCAGATATAACTACCTTAAGAATCCCCTGGAGGAGGCTCAGAAAGCTTTAAAATCATCAGAGATAGTGGATTCCTCTTCCTGGGTCAGAAAATTCCACTCCCAACTGCGAATAAAGTTCCTGCTTTTGCCAGAGGGACCAATGCGAAAGAACAAAAAAGCCTCTGTGGATATATTCTTGTACCCATTGCAAGGCGTGAAGTGTTCCAGAAATTTATAGTGCAGAAAATTTCAAATGGGAAGTATTGTCTGAGAATGGAAAGCGGGGTTCCAGAATAGGGCCCACAGATGCCCAAAGCAAGAAGGACAAGATCTCTTTTCAAGTCGCTGTGAAGATCAGATTGGGTCGAGTGTTCTGCCAGTTCTCTCCAAGATTCTGTACCCCCTCTCTCCTAAATTTTCCTTTAAAATGACAACCTCATGCAGCCCTTGGCATCATAAGAGCTGGTCAAAGACAAAGATAAGCAATACTCACCTATTCTGGCAGATAATAGCATAACTAAGTTCTGGTCTCCCAGGAGTAGATCAAAACAAGCAAAAGAATAAAGAGGTATGATTTCATCTCATCACAATTAAGACTAATTTATTTCTTTCCCATCTCAAGACTCAAATAACTGAATATTGTCTCAATAACAGATGTACCATCATCACCAAGGGAAGACCAGCTTCCCTTCTTCGAGGATGTCCATTAATGTCCGTGGAGATACAGGACTGGTTCTATCAACTGATGCTAAGCCTAGACTGAAGTGGACACCAGAACTACATGAGCGCTTTGTTGAAGCAGTCAATCAGCTTGGAGGAGTAGACAGTGAGTATATACAGCTGAATCAAATTCAAGAACATTGGAGACAATATCATGCAAATGATACAGCTAATGCAAGACTTTCTATGTTACAGAGGCTACTCCAAAAACAGTTATGAAGCTCATGGGAATTTCAGGGCTTACCTTGTACCACTTAAAAAGCCATCTTCAGGTACATTACTAAAGCCTGCAAAGACCTCATGTGGAATTCTGTGTCATTGGATCCACAAGCTAAAGTGCTTTTTTTTCTTGCAGAAATACAGGCTTAGCAAGAATCTCCATGGACAAGCTAATACAGGGATCAACAAGAATGGTAAGAGGGCAATCTTATAAACACCTCATTGTTTTTACAAGTAACAGACATAATATTGGGGGGAGGGGGGGGGGAAGATAATTTTTCTAAGGAATAAAAGCAATAGAAAGAATGCACGTTACTTACAAGATTCAACTGCACAACAGCAGTTGCAGGAGATAGGATATCTGAAGCAAGTGGAGCATTTATAAGCAATACAAGCCTTTGTTCCCAGACAAACAAGTGAGAACAAAACCACTTCTTTATTTGTTTTATTCTTTCTATTAGATTATTATTTCTTTTCCCCATAGCTGAAGAGAATATGAACTGAAGAGGATTTCAAATATCAGAAGCTTGCAGATAAGTGAAGCAATACAGATGCAAATAGAAGTGCAGAGAAGGCTGCATGAACAGCTTGAGGTATGTATATTCAAATATTTAAGATCTTTAACATTTATGAAAATGCTTGGACTTGTTCAATTTGTTGAACAAAAAACATGGTAATTTGACAAAAAGGTCAGCTTATTTTGCAATCCTTTCAGATGGTTCTTAATAACTCTTTGACAAAACCTAGTTAAAAATCCATTCCTTATCAACCCATAAGAAAGGAAATGCTAAAATGATCCTTTTTACATAATGAAACCATAACCAAGATCATGGGCATCATGCACATAAAGAACTATATGTCATTGCATATGAGATCAAGGGTTTCTATGTTTAGGTATGTGCATTTTCTAGGAGAAAAAAAAATAAAAAAAAAACTACTGTACTTGTTAAATTGATCCTTATCATATTGAGCCTTCGGTTTCATGAGTTGAAATTCTATTAAACAAGAAAATGCCACAGTCTCATTGTCATAGGTCGAAAATGCCAATCACTTCATAAAATTTTGACACAGTTCTTGTTTAGTTTCTGAAGGCTTAGAAATGAACTTATATTTTTTCCATTTGCACAAACTGCTTTTACAATCAAACTTTAGGTTGTTACTTTGAATTTCTAAAGTTTCAGTGTATATTCAAGCCAAACTCTTAACAAGTTGTTTTTCTGGACTGAACAGGTTCAGCGACACCTACAGCTCCGGATAGAGGCCCAGGGAAAATATCTACAGTCAGTGCTGGAGAAAGCCCAGGAAACACTTGGAAGACAGAACCTGGGCTCTGCAGGACTTGAAGCTGCAAAAGTGCAGCTCTCTGAACTAGTCTCCAAAGTATCCACTGAATGCTTGAACTCTACCTTGTCTGAGTTGAAAGAACTACAAGATCTGCACCCTCAGAAAACACAAACAACCCAGCCCACAGATTGTTCAATGGACAGTTGTTTGACCTCATGTGAAGGATCTCAGAAGGACCAAGAGATACACAATATCGGGGTAGGTTTAAGATCTTATTATAGTAATACATCTCTGGGCCAAAAGGAGATTGTGGATGATTCCAGGCTTGAGCAGCCAGAACACGCATGGGGAGAAGACCAAAATGAGAATAAGATGTTTTGTTCTTCCAAGGGAAGAGACACTGAAAGAATAATGTTCCCGATGAAAAGAAACTCTAGTGATTTAACAATGAGCATTAAGGTACATGGAGAAAAATGGAATGCCAGCAGCTTCTTTACTGAGGCAACAACCAAAGAAGGAGATGAAGATGACAGCTTCCATTACCAAACCGGTGCTAGAAGACCTGTCACTAATGTGGAGAATGAAAAGATGTCAAAAGGATTCAGACTGCCCCATCTAACACCAAAACTAGATCTAAATTCCCAAGAAGAAAATGATTCTACTTCTACTTGCAAACAATTTGACTTGAATGGATTCAGCTGGACCTAAGAGATTGTATTATAGGTTGGATATAGTTGTTTAACAGAAGTCCATGCTTGATGGACACGTCAATTTTCTTTCCATATCAATTGAGATAGCTCAAAATGTAGAACAACAACCAAATTAGCCTGACAAGGCAGCACATCAGGATCAATGGCATCAGAGCAGGATGAAGTCCAAAAATTACAAGCAGATGGAGCAAAGGCAGGAGCAAACTACCAAAATTACATGTAGAAGTTAATAACAAATATTGGTCCAGAAAAATGTACTACTACTGTTCAAAACTCATTAAGAGCTTAATATTTATAGTATCATGCTGCATAACCTTTTACATTGCAATATCATGCTTATAACCTGAGAAGAGAATCTCTAGGTGAATAAACTCTAATGATTTTCCATAATTGCAAACTGTGAGCATAAATGCAAGTTAAACAAGGAATATATGCTTAGAAAGTGTTTTAAGAAGTTGGGGATTAACATATTATTAGGTCCATACCATCTAAGCACACTTCACCCAACCATGGTTGTAGAGATGTAGAGAGATCATAACATCCAACCATGGTTCACCCAAAAGTTCCAATCAACATGGAACCTAGAGCATTTGATTTTGACTTCAAAACTAGGTTGTCTTCTCCAAACAAATGTTTAATATTGAGAATAACACCAAACACAACAACTCTAAAAGAAAATAAATGTTTAATATTGAGAATTTAATTAAATAAATTAGAAAAAATGAGAGAAAAAGGAGGAAAGTGTGGAATAACTTCATTCACTGATCAAGTTGTGGAAATCCAAATAAACAGAATATCTGCAACTTTAGAGAGTTGAAAAAAGACAATCACCCTGACTGGCTGGTAAGCACTAGGGTGTGGGCAGGCTCAGGTTGGGGAATTGTTAAAATTTCAATGGACCTGGCCAAAAAGCCCAGGCCTAATGCAGTGTAAACTCTTCAAATTAGGTACCCAATTCACATCTAGCAAGCACCAAGTTCTTCCCTTCGCTAAAAGTAAAAGATGCATTTCACAGAACTAACAAAATAGAATAATCTAAGTGAATATTTTAGACATCATTGTCAACCTTGTTCCCTCAACCAATCAATCATTTCATAGATATTGACACAAATTTGGATTGATCTGAATCAATAAGCTCCCTAACACAGTTTCCAATTTCAAGCTCATAAGAACAATATTGCTGCCAGATTTTCTAGGAGCCACTAGTATTGTTTTCACTTGATACTACCAAGATTAAAAGTTGCACAGCACAAGTCCAAAATAACAGAACCATGGTGGTGGTATAGGTTGGTGAATAGCTACTTGTCATACTTGGACTCCCCCCCCTGCCCCCTCAAAAAAAAATAAATAAAAATATTACACGGGCACAAGCAAAGACAGCTAAAGTTGTTGATTTGACAGATTTGGTTAATCCGGTTGATTAGGTTCCCTCTTCACACTGTTTTACGGGGGTGTTTTTAACATATTCTAGGTGCTAGGAGGTTTTCTTGTAAGTATTAAATTTGTGAATATATTTGGGTGGAATGGGTACCACCACTTCATCTATGCGATTTTCCTCTCCATTACGTTTCTCTTCTCCTCTCTTCTTCACTAGATGATTCTATGACTGATAGCTGATTACGCACACAACAGTAATTCTTTCCCATAACAAATGAAACTACACACACACACAGAGCAGGTAAACAAGGCAATTATTCACATCATCTTCAAAGATATTTTATTTGTTTTTTGGTAATAAGTAAACGAAACTTTTATTAAATGAAAAGAGAAATAAGAGTACAAAGGAGTCAATAAGAGATTACCCAGAAAAAAAAGGAAAATACATCAAGAGAAGAATGCATCAACTTTAACCCCCTGACTCCAGGTCTAAAACTGACCAAATACGAGAACCAAAAGAATCTATACAAACAACAGAAAAATCTAGAAGAGCCACAACCCAATCTAAAATTCTTTTCCCGATGATTGAGACCAGACGGTCATGACATATGTATTGGTCTTCAAAAATCCTTATGTTTCTCTCTTTCCATAACTCCCAACATATTGTAAATGGTAAACAGATCCAAGCTATCTTCAGCTTCCTACTTCCGTTTAGGGATGCAAACGGATCGGATCAGATTTGAATCAGGGTACATTCGAATCCAATCTGACACTGTTCATGACGGATCCAATCCGATCCGAAGATCTGATCGGATCTGATAGGAATCAATCTGAATTCGAATCCTATCGGATCTTCGGATCTGATTTGATCCAACTTGTTTTCTTTAAAAATTAATAAATTATTAAAAGAAAAAATAAAATATACCAATTTAAATAAAGAAAAAACAAAAAATACAAGTATTTTTTAATTATTTTCATCATATATATACATATTTTTATAAAAAATAAATAATATAACAAATTTATAAAAATATAATATAAATAATATATTTATAAATAAATAAATAACATATATATATGTATTATATATATTTTATTTATAAATATATAACACATCAGATCGGATAGGTGATCCAAATTCGACCAAATAGGATCAGATCGGATCATGATCCAATCCATTTGCACCCCTACTTCCGTTTAGGATTGGCCAAAGTGCAAAAGTCTCTTTTGGATACCTTGGGTCGCACATCTCCATCTTGAATAGGGAAAAGAAGTAACCCCAAATAATCTTCACGTAACAGCAGCGAAAGCATAAATGAAGAACATCTTCATCCTCCACTAGACAAGGGTAACATCTACCTGGCCAACTGGATACGCCTGCTTTTGACGTGATTTTGGGTAAGACTGCTATCCAGAGCCTCCAACCATGCAAAAGACTCAACTCTCGGACATTGCCCCAAACACCTTTAATGTCTTCCTTTCAACCTGATTTCTAGCTAATGCTTTGTAAAGTGATTTTACAGAAAACACCCCCTTGCTACTCTCCTTCTACCACCTCACATCAGCCCTCTCAAAATGCAACTCTGCTGCTTGCAATCCTAAATGGAAGCAAGACAAATGCCAAGTATGTGCTGAAATTTTTAAAATTCTGACAGGTAAATTGTTGGAGATATATAAATTCCAAGGTTTAAAACATGGTTTATAGTTAGTATCACAAACTTTGATATATCCTAGATTTAGGGCTGCAACTCCGGCAGGCCCAACCCAAGCCTGACAAAACCCAACCTGAGCTTTGTATGAAGGGCTCGAGCTTTGGGGCTTTCGGATGGGCCTGGACGAGAAAACTTGGGCCTAACCTAAACTCAGATTGGGCTTGGGGGTTGAGGCCTCAAGTATCCAAGCCCAACCCAAGCCCGCCCAACATTGTATGACATATACATCTACATGGATGTGTATATTGTGTATACACCATCATATACACTTATGCACAAACATTTAGAAATACATTTCATGTACTCTATATATATTAAAACATTTTTTTCTAATTATAAACGTATATATGTAGAAAATATGCATATATTCATTTACTAATGACATTTGTGCACGTTTTCAATCCATCCTACAGAGCCAATAAAAGAAGATGGTATAAAACATATTGAAAAAATACCATCAAACCTGACCAACCCACCCAGGCCTGACTGACCCACTTAAGTTGAAGCCCTGCCAAGTTGTGTTGGGTTAAACTTGGGTTGGGTCTAGGTTGGTAAACTCAGGCTTGACCTTGGATTGGGCCAGGCCCGAGCCCAATGTTTTGAGTCTTAAGGTTGGGCTTGGGTTAACCATCAACCCAACCCAACCCAACCCACCCAAATTGCACCTACCCAGATTAAAGGAATACCTAGAGCTATAAAGAAGTCTTGGGAGGTTAGAATGAAATTAAAATCATATGCATTATTTGGTTCCAATTCTCCTAATTACTGTAGATTCTACACTTGCCTTGAAGGGATAGTTTTTCTCAATTCACTTAGCATGCAAGAGGTACAGGGATCGATACACTTCATCTTCAGCTTTCTTTATGGTTTTATCCAAAAAAAGGGATACTTATTAAAAGGTTGCTGTTTCATATCCTATACAGAGAATCATATTTATGGAGTATACCACGCAGGGTAATTTCACTAAGCTGCCTAGGGTATATTTTAACTGTCCTAGGAGTTTTTTTTTTTGATAAATATGTCCTAGGAGTTTTTTTTTTTTGATAAATATGTCCTAGGAGTATTTTAAATGGCTCAAACATGAGGCCTCAAGGTATATTTCTTACGAGACATCAAAAAACTTTATCTCAATTACCTAGGATTGAGATTACATATCCTATTTCATCATTATACTCTATCAAGAGCCATATCATCCTTTACATTAAGACTCCTCGGATCTTCACTCCTACTGGCATTTTTCAACCTCCTCCTAATTTCATTTAAAACCCTCAACTTGTATCAGATAACTCCTAATTAGTGCAGTAGACAGTCTTCCATGGGCATGACTGAACCATCTTAATCTACTTCTCACTTTATCATCTACTGAGGGGCCATTACTTAACTGTTTTCAATTATATACATTCTAATCTTGTCATTCATCCCTCTCAATAGCCTAGTGTCTTCCACACTCATTTTATGGCTAACTATTTATAGATATACATATCAGCACAAATTTTATCAATCCACCCATAGTACTCAAAGCAACCAAGTATTAGTCATTAGTTCAGATAGGAGATCAGATATCAGAGGACCATATTATGCATTCACCTACCAGAAATAAAAATCATTCACTTATTTTACTTACTATCCACCAATATAATTTATCAAAACTAGAAGTTTACAACTTAAGTTTTGGTTGGGCTACTGGAGAAGAAAAGGGCCAAAGAAAGAAAATGGGTTCTCTCATTTCAATAAAAAAGGCTCCCGCATTTTATCATAGAAGATAAAAGTAGGACCTGCTCTCTTAAAAGACAAAACTCGACCTGTTTTAGAATAGAATGTTACACAATGACAAGCGCACATCATGCCTGCATGCCTAGTTGAGCTGAAGCTTGTACTGAAGGCTACCACCTAATTATTAGTGTAAGTGTATTTAAGCTATTTTTCTAGAAATCTCACCAGCCACCCTCCAAAGGACCTTGGCCTAGGCTGTACCTTGATGATCATGCATGTATCCGTCTATTCCAACCAGGTCTACTTTATGGGATAAAAAAATGCCAACAGTATTCACCTATAACAGCTATGGATACCTAAATGGTCCAAACATGAATGCCTGTTGTCTTCTTATTGTTGTTAAATAAATACCTTATCTTTTCAAGCAATGTCAGTATATGCCCTAGTGAAAATGTGTATTCAGGATTCTATATCTCTTTTCTTTTAGTTGAACTATCAGTCAATACTTACCAAAAATATCAGCAATGGATAAGCTCTGAACTTTCAAAATTTTGAACTTGCTAAAGATATGAGAAACACATGCGATTAGTACGCAATATGATGACAGGACAAGCTGTTCAGGCTTCAATATACAACTGAGAAATTAAAAGACCGATAACCTGCTATTGAAAGCAATGTTTTTCATGATGTCCCAGGTAGAACCAGAACTAACTTCTATGAAAGCCCATAGACCATGATACTACATTGCACCAAGAGAACACCAAAATATCATAAAACTAATACTATCCATATCACAATAGCCTCAATTTGCTAAAACACAAGGGAGCAGCAAATCATCATGTGGAAAGTTCACGAAAATACTTCCCAATTTTGGTAAAAAATATAGTCCAAGTTAGACACCCTTCACTTCCACAGATTTCACTTCTACCCCCCCCCCCCCAAACTCACCTTTATGGGGGCAATGTCACTTCAAGTCTTCTAACTGTCTACTCCTGAAAATGGTCTTAAATGTCAGTGAAAATTCCACAAAATTCCAATTTCAGTTATGGAAAAAGAAGTTAAAATCCCAAAAGATTTAGGTGAAATTGTTTCAGGGGAACCTTTCCTGGAATTTAATGATTTTGTTCAAAATTTTGGGTTTTTATATAATATAAAACCTATAAAAATAGGTAATATAGATACAGAAAATAATCAAAATATCAATAAAATAAAATTTCAAAAAAAAACAAATTTTCATTTCATACTTTGTTTACAAAATTTAAAAACTTTGTTCATGAATAAGTGAATGCTCTAAATAAAATGTATTAATTAAATTCCAAAGAATCATAAATGGCAGCAGGGGAGAGAGGTATTCTGGTTAGATTTTCTGGAACATCAGCAAGTGTCTGTTCAAGGATTAGTAACCTTTATATTTCTTATTTTACCCATCAACAAAACCCAAATTCAAATGCTGATATGAATGAAAGGGTTGTCCCAGCTAATTGTTCTTCCTTTACTTATATATACATGTCCCTTTAGGAGTTTGATGGGCAGGCAGATTCAAGGGTTTTCTCTGAGTTGTAGTTAATGCAATAACCTTAATATTGTTCTCAACAATTAAACAGCATCTCCACCACAGAAAAGTTATGTCACTACCAAGTATTAATACTTTTCTACAATAAGCCAACCAACAATCCCCATAGCAAATTTTCTGAGATATATGGTTTCAAACTCCACAGGTCTATGTTATGGGCCCGGGAATAGGATCTCATCACGGGTCGGTCCACGGGGAAAACCCTCTGTTTTCCCTTGTTCCTCCCTGCTCTTGATGGACCTATCTAAGCGCCCTAATGGTGATTTGTTCAAGAGATCACCTAACTCTCCTTTACTCTCTTTCTTGACTGAATATTCGATATCCTCATTCAAT